CCCTCCCTCCCTCCCTCCCTCCCTCCCTCCCTCCCTCCCTTCCTTCCTTCCTTCCTTCCTTCCTTCCTTCCTTCCTTCCTTCCTTCCTTCTCTCCTTTCTCCTGCTCCTGCTCCTCTTTCTTTTGCACAAAGGTTCTATAGCTTATGCATCGCCTCAAATTGAAAAGCAACTTGAAAGTAGGATTTTTTTCCCCTAAGGGTCAATAAAAAGTAATTTTATAAATATGTCCAGGCTGATTTCTTGGTAGTAAAGCAGAAGTGTTTTGATTATCCCTTTTTCCAGCCCTAATATTTCATGGTGATCTCCCATCCAAGTTCTAGCCAGACTTGCTCTCTGCTGAGACTTAGGAAAAATACTATGTCATAAGTAGAAATACTGATAAGCAAAGTGAGCAAGGATCAGGACAAGTGAATATAAAATTTTGGATGCTGTTAACAGAAGATTGTCCACTGACAGCTCTACAAAGAAGGACCTGTGGCCACATTATCTTTCAGTCACTGTCTTCTGCCAAAGCAGCAGAAGGACTTTGACCCCCAACTCTCAGGAAGGCTCTGAAAGCTATAGAAGCAATGCAGAAGACCATCATTATTTTGAGAAGTTTAGTGACATCTTTTGATTTCTTCTTCATATTCCCAAAAAGTCGAGGAGTTTAGAATTCATTTAGAGCTAGCCTGCTTGTTTTTCTCTCTTGCTTGGTGAACAAAAGAGAAAGGGGGGTTGGGAGAGAAATTTTCATGCAACTGCAAAGCTTTTTTTTTTTTGCTGTGAAAGTCTGGGATTTTTAATTCCCATTCAGACTCATGTGCCATTCCATCAAAGTCAACTCTTGCAGTCCTGATCATAACAGGGCCAGGAAATCATGGTTCCAGGCAGAGGTGGTATTCAGCAGGTTCTGACTAATTCTGGAGAGCCAGTAGCAGAAATTTTGAGTAGTTCGAAATATCACCTCTGACTGGCCCTGCCCCCATCTATTCTCTGTCTCCCGAGTCCCAGCTGATCAGCTGGGTCTCCTTCTGTTGCCCTGAACAGGAGAACAGAGCTGGAAAGCAGGTTAATGGGGTGGGGAGGGAATGTGGATTTTACAGTATCCTTCCCCTGCCACACCCACCAAGCCACATCTACAGAACCGGTAGTAAAAAAATTTGAATCCCACCACTGGTTCCAGGTATTGATACAAACCTTGTTTGTTTGTTGAAAGCTTCTACATGAAACGGAGCACTAGGTAGTGTGATGACTGGCTGCCCTTGAGGTATCTCTGCGCTATCATTATTAAGGAGCTCCTGGCAAACTGTAAGAGATTTGGGCATCACCTTGCTTGGTATGTCTGGTTTTTTATATCAGACTTTTAACTCTGTTTGTCTGAGCTAATAAGAAAGCTTAAAATTCCCTTATTTACTGGGCTGCTTATTTCCTCTGTCTGGATCCAAGGGAACCAATTGCCTGGGCATCGTATTGCTGCCCTGACACTTGGCAAAACAAGACATGGTTCTGCCACAGTGCCTGGGGTGTGGGTCTAATATTGAATGGTCGGGGTCTTTTACAATGCCTGTGATCAGCTGATGTAAGGCTGGATTCTGCCACTGACTATGATTTTTTTTTTTAAAAAAAATGGAATGCATCTTTATATATTTGTATATTGATTTTTGAACTTGCTTTTATTGGATTATTTAAAAAAAATCCTGTTGCCAGTCACTTAGATGAGGCAGGTGGCCAGACAAATCAAATAAATAATAGCATTTTTTGCAACAATCATATTTAAACATCAAGGGACAGAATGACCTTTGACCCTGACCAGGGTCAAATGTTTGAAGCCCTCTTCAGAGAGCAGTTGCATAATCCTCCTTGCCTTTGTTCCATGCCCCTCTTCAGTGGTGGGATTCAAATTTTTTTACTTCCAGTTCTGTGAGCGTGGCTTGGTGGGCATGGCAGGGGAAGGACGCTGTAAAATCTCCAGTCAGAGGTGGTATTTGCCGGTTCTCCGAACTACTCAACATTTCCGCTACCGGTTCTCCAGAACTGGTCAGAACCTGCTAAATACCACCTCTGCCCCACTTCCTATGACGAGATTGCTCTTCCCCTTTGCAGTTTCTGCATAACTCCCTCTCAAATGTTTTAAATTTCACAGATGTCCTACAAGCTTGTATATTATGAGTGGATCATATCAAAATATATTTAGCCCCTGAGACAGTGCTGGATTTAGTTTTAGTGGAGTGGGACAGATACATTTTCTCTTTTTGTTTAGTCAGATTTAAAAAAGACAACTGCATTCTACTGATGTCTCTGACTGCTTTGGTTGGATAGGATTGGTTGGCTATGTTTTTTTTTTAAACTAGACTTCCAAATTTTGATGACATAGGAACACTTGCCTTTAGGAAAAAAAATCCACACTTCAAACCTATTTTTAATCCTAGCACTGAAGAGAGGTCACAGTCCGTTCGTCTTCACCCCAAGTCTTTTAACTTCAGGAATGCAAGTTGGGAATGCTGTATTCACAGATGTGCAAATTCGATAGCATCTAATACATAATCTGATGCATGTATTAGATGCTCTCTCTCATTCTGACAGTACAATACTGGGGATCTGCCTCAGTATATCCATACTTATCTAGTATGCATGTGTATTACCAGCTTTGCCCTCCACAATAGTCTCTCTTCTAGGAGGAGAAGGAATAGCATTAGCCATTAAACAAAATAAACACATGTTAAAGGTACATAGAAGAAAGGAAACAACACAGATTTTCCCCCTCTATCTATCATGTCCTTACTTCTTTCATTGCCATGTTCAACTTTGGATCTCAGAACCAAATTGAGTCTTTAGAGCCATGGTGGTGCAATGGTTAGAATGCAATATTATGGGCTAACTCTGCCGACTGCCAGCAGTTCAATCTTGATCAACTCAAGGTTGACTCAGCCTTTCCTCCTTCCGAGGTGGATAAAATGAGGACCCAGATTGTTGGGGGCAATATGCTGAACTCTGTAAACCACTTAGAGAGGACTGTAAAGCACTGTAAAGCGGTATATAAGTCTAAGTGTTGTTGCTAAGTGCTCTTAATGTATTGTTAGTTAAGCAATGGAAGGATTGGGGGGGGGAGCACCACTGTTGTGCTCTCCTCAGGGCCTTAATCCTGCCCTGAGAAGGAACATTAATAGTCCCTTTTTGTTGAAGGATCACAGAGGAGGAGCAGAAGTCTGTTGCATCCGCAGAGGAAAGAGGGAAGCTTGCTGGTTCCTTTCGATGTTTATGCACTGTAATCAAAGGTCTGAAAAATTACTCATGTGTAAATGTGTTTCTTAACAATAGGAATACTCCCTCTGCTATATGGAAAATTCCAGACTTTTTCAGGAGGATGTATTAAGAACCTCCCTTTAGATCCTCAACCACAGGGCTGGAGGAAAATACGATTAGCCCTCATTTAGTGACCAAACTTTGTCATTGAGTCGATCACTAAGTGAAACCATGACTGATCTTACTTCAGCTTTCTTCTTTTTAAGATCTATGAAGGTTGTCAATGCAAGGACTGGTCACACAGTTACTTTTTATCATTGTCATAACTATGAATGGTCAGTGTATGAGGCAGTTGCTAATTGAGGATTACCTGTATTAGGGAGGATCCAGCACCTGCTGCCTACACCCATCACACATTCAAAATAATTGAGGAAGTGTGTACAAAATAAAGTGAAGACATAAGACTGAGTAACATCGGGAAATTACTGAACCACAAGCTACAGAAACCAATGGCAGTTCATAGGACATCAGTATCGCTAAACATAGTTATAGGGAGTGACCAAATAGTTTTCATAATATTAATTCAAAATTTCTACACAATCAATATTTTACAAAGCTTGCTTTCCAATATAATTTATTTAGACATCTTATCATAGGCAACTACAGCAGAAAAAGTCCCCCATACATTCCATGAGGATTGCCACACTAAAAATTAATTCTTTTAAAATGCTGAAATTACAATTCATGTTTATATTACACAAGTATGCCAGAAATCTCAAGATAAATATATACAAAATAAAAGTTGGAAAGTATACCCCTATGTCTATTCAGCTATACTCTGAGGAGTGCGAGGTGAAAAGATCAGGCCACCATTTTAAGTTCCCACAATGCTCCCAAAAATTTAAACATGGCAGACCTGTGGCAATCCATGTGAACAAATTTACTTATTGTACAACTCATACTAGGTGGCTCTGGAAAGGACAATGTACACTAACTATAAGTGTATAGAAAAGACCAGATCAGACAAGACATATGCTGCATAAATCATTATGAAACTAAACAAGTAATGTGGTCCCAATTCAATATTAATGTTGAGAGAAATTTAAAAGACCTGTGGAGGAAAAACTTTATTTTACTGAAGCCCATTACAGTGTTTAAAAAAACAGCCTAAAACTAAAACAAAACAAAGAAAATATGTAGAGAATGGGTACCCTCCTCCCCATTTTCTGGTCCCAAACATTAATAAGCATGTTGTGCGTCAGGGATTTTCACAGTATTTCTGTTTTACTGACAAGCAAATGAAATGGAAGAGCATGGTTTCGAATTAGGATTCTAAGACTTGCCACTATCCATATCTTGCTTGTTTTAAATATTTGTCCCAATTGAAATTATGACCTTTTCAATATAAGGCAACATATAGGGGGAAAACCCCAAACAAACTATGCAAAAACAGATCTTAATGGGATTGAGTTCACTGCATTTGCTTCTCCTCTGCCAAAAAAATCAAAATCAAAATTATGAGATTATGTTCAGTAGCTGCTATCATTTTTCATTGGTAGCATAAAACTAAATACAATCTTTGCAAAAGTGTAAAACAAAGGCCACAAAATGTATACTCCTACTAGATTGGCCTCAGTGTTCTGAGAATGATAGGAGGTCAAATGTTTCTTGTTGTCAAAGAGCCTGTTCCAAGAGGTGCTAAAACAAATGCTTTTAAAGAAACCTACAGTACATCTACCAGAGGCAGATGATGGCATTCATATGGAATTACAGTTCAAACGGCATCATATTTGACAGAAGATTTTCTTCCTGTTGAAGACTCATGCTTGGCAAAGCTTTAATTTGAACTGCCCTACCTTCGGTGGGCGAGATGACTACAAGCATGCAGGTGAGCAAAAACGATTAATCCTAAATAATTAAGGCATTATATGAGGGCTTCCAAAATAAAACTGGAGATCTCTTTGCTGTTGCTGAATAGTCCCATACAAGGAAAAGAGGTCAAGAAACTCCCTTTTCCTCCCAGAAGAAGCAGACATCTCCATTTTGCACACGGGGCTCCAGGTTGAAAAGTCTACAAGTATTTTCCTGAGAAATCCCTAGGATTAATGAAAGAATATATTCCTACGGGTTGATAGATATCTCTTGAAGCTTCTCGATGCAAACCATTCGTGAGAATGGTTATTTTTAATCATGGGAAAATAATTCAGTGACAGCACGAAGACATGGTGAATCATCCAAATTCCTGGTGCCACTTGATAGTAGCAGCGTATGGGTATATTATACTCAGGATTACGTATACATACATAGGCACATTCACATACAGGGTAAAGAGAGAGAAAACACTTCAGCAAAAGTGTAAGTTCTGTCATAGAACATTTCAGACAGTTTTGTTCTTCCAAAGGTCGTTCCACTGTGGTATATGGCGCACAAAGTCAATGCTAAATACAAGCTCTGCCTTTTTGACAGAAAAGAGTTGCCACATGCTTTTTAAATTATTATTATCATTTCAATCCATTCACCCAAGCTTTCCTTCAAATCAGCTAGCTGGTATCTAATAGGCACAGCTCATATATGGCTTCGGCGATCCCTTTAACACGAGTTTCATAATGGGATTGAAGCTCTTGCTTTCTAGCCTCCAAAAAGTGTGGAGAGCAACTAGCTCCAAAGTGAGAAAGCCAGAAATAAGCAGGAAGAGCTCTTCTCAATTCTTGGTTTTTGCTACTTCCCTCAGTGGGAAGAAGAGAAAAGGCTCCAGCTGGCTTCTGTCTACAGGGTGAAAACAACTTCAGGTGTATTTAAAAATTCCATACAGTATTTCCTTGGCAAGATGGTCTGCAATATGAATGTGTTAAAAAGAAACAAAGAGTTGGATTACCTAGTCTAGTGAGCTTGACTTGAGCTGTCAGCAGTTCTGCAAGCTCCTAGATTGTGGTCTTTCACACAACCCTGAAGTCTCAAGTTGTTTTTCTCTGGCACCAGAGTTTGCATTATGGACCCCCTACATGCTTAGCTGCTAAGTCATGGCTTCTTCCAAGAGTCTGACCCAGCAACTAGCATTTGATCTTCTCATACAATTTGACGTAGCCGTGTTTTACTAGTTTTAAATAGATATTTTTATACCCTTCAGAAATAAGGCTGGTTATGTAAAAGACCAGAGGTTTACCTCATTAGTTACCTATAAAACCATCACTACTTATTCAAGGGGCTTTCTAGAATTCTTGGTATGTTTTAGTGCAGCTTTTCTAAACCCTCAACCCCATATTTCTATAAAAGCAAAAATCTGTACATCTGGATATGTTATTAATCAACAAGACAGCAGAGAAGCAGCTTGCAGCTGTCTACACTAATTGCACCTTGAGATCTAGTCCACAGTCCTCTTAATCATCTCCAAATGGAGTAATCTGCTCAGAGGAAGCTTCCAGAAAGTTTCTGCTAATCAGGCACTTCCTCCCTTCAGCAGTCATTCCATAATGGCTGTGTGTGTGTCTAACAAATATTTTGGCTGAAGATGTATTCCAGCTATGTTAAAGGATCATAGAAGAACTGAAGAAGAAATCAAATAAGTTCTTGATAGCTGCAATCAATGCCTTGAATTGTAGAAGAGATAGCAGCCTTGTGTAGAATGAAGACACTTTCTTGCTGTTCAGTTCATCCTGCAGTGGTATTAGAGAGGAGAAATTTCGGATATTTGTTTTTGCATGAATCTTTAGGCATTTAACAAGAGACAAGGTATAAGTAATTTAGTACATATGGTTCACTCCATACTGAGAAAAAAACTGAATTTGTAAACTGAGAACTTAACAAATAAGAGGTACAACAAAGGTATAATAAGGGCAGAATTGTAAACAGGAGCCAACCTGCAAGACTGAAGTTTTGGCCTCATGGTTCACGTTAACTCTGCCCTACTTTACAATGGCCTTTTGAGAAAAGCAGGGTGTTTTTTTTTTTTAAATTCTGGCATGAAACCAAAATGAAGCAAAACATATCGTAACTCAGCATGATGTGTCAACTTGGTCTAGAGTCTGTTGGAAAGAGAGCAGCATGAAATAGGAATATGGGGGGAAATTGTCCTGAGAAACTGAAAAGGAGATGGCTTGCTGGGATCCTGGGTAAGAGCCCTCCAGGCATCATCTGGCTGTCTCCTTGAATCGCATACCTTTAAGATTGGTTGGGCTTGGAACTGATGTTGGCTCAAATACTGAGAGGATTCATTTGCAGAAGGCTTTTCTCAAAACATACAAGCATAAAAACCAGCATCTTTTCCAGCTGACAGGAGGAGTCTGGTAGCACCTTTTCAAAACATACAAGCATAAAAACCAGCATCTTTTCCAGCTGACAGGAGGAGTCTGGTAGCACCTTTTCAAACTAACAAATTTCATTGGAAGGCATCAGCTTTTGTGAGTTCATGACATCTGTTAAATTTAGAGCAATGAAGTAAGATGTTTCTGTTGGAAAAGTTGCTGCCAAATTACCTATTTTTTTTGTTGCTACCATGGATCATAGCATAAAGTGTAAATGTAGCGAATATTAATACGGATTATAAGATGCTAGGGCAGAGATGGCGAACCTTTTTGTTGTGGTGTGTCAAAAGCACGCCTGTATGCGATAACGCGCACATGTGTGTGCCGGCACCCACAATGCAATGCGCCCCACCCCCATGCGCATGTGCGTGCAACACCCCCCTTACCTGCACTGCGCATGTGCGTGCCTCCCAGCTGATTTTTGGCCAGGAAGTGCCTGTTTTCAGCCTCCAGAGGGCCTCTGGAGCCCAGGGCAGGCCATTTTCGCCCTCCCGGGGGCTCAAGGAAAGCCTCTGCAGCCTCTGGAGACCGAAAAATGGGCCCGTTTTTCGGCCTCCAAAGGCTGCAGAGGTTTCCCTCGAGCCTCTAGGAGGGCGAAAATGGCCTCAAACGGGCCAAAAATCAGCTGGGAGGCATGCACATGTACAGTGCAGGTACATTTGGATGTGGCTCACATGGCCGCACAAATGGCTCTGCGTGCCACCTGTGGCACGCATGCCATAGGTTCACCATCACGGTGCCAGGGCCTGGATGATGATGATGGAAAATCTTGACCCTAGTTTCATCCTTTTTCTTGTGGGCATACATGCACCACAAATGATAATATATTTCATAGTAAAGATTTGTTCTTGAAACAAAGCAAACCCTTCTTCCTTTCAGAAGCATAGAGAAGGAAAGGAAGGTAACCATATTTAGAGAAGAACTAGGGCAACTTACCTCTTGGTCTGAAAATGAGCAGAAACAATGAAGGTACCGTTGTCCTAGCTGCACAGTTCTGGCTCTTTCATTGGCTCTTCGGAATTCTCACTGAGATTAGGCTCCCCTGAAATTCAAAAACAGAAACGGCTATAAAAGGGTCTACATGCTGTTCATCTTCGATTTGGTGCAATGTGACCTGTGTGGCTCATTGGTTAGAGAAGAGGAGCACAATCTGAGGCTTTCGGCACATGTTGTCCACAAAAAGCTTTTTGAGCAGCCCCCAGAAAAGTGTGGAAATTGTAAGAGATAAATATTCAAGAGACCTTTATTTAAAGAACTGCAGACTTCTCTTTTATTAGGGAAGAGACTCCCTGCTAACCAAATCATAGCAAAGCTGTGGGAAAGATCATTAGAAAGTCTCTGCCTGTATGTATATGTATGTATATGTTTATACGTATAGGATCATCATTTTAGCCATTGTCTATCCACTGCAGGACGAAGGCCTCTTCCGCATGATTCCAACCAATGCAGTCCTGAGCTTTCTTTTGCCAATTGGGCTCATAACACTTGCTGCTGTCATTGATCTATCTTGTTTTAGGTCTCTTTTGTGGATGCTTTTAATCAAATGGGATCCAGCCTAAGACTGCCTTGGTTCACCTGCCCTCAATTCTTTTTGCTATGTGACCAGCCCACTTCTGTTTCAATTCTTTTACTCTCTTGATGGCATCATATACTTTTGTTTGCCCTCTAATCCATGTACAGGTCTTTCTATTTTGCCTTGTGCTGAGCATATATTGAATTGTATATTGCAATATATACAACATATATTACAATACATAATATGTTGTACATATTGTATTGTATATGCATTATATAGGACCAACTCTCTTCATATTCTACATAAATGACCTCTGTGATCATATTAAGAGCAACTGCGTTCTCTTCACTGATGATGCAAAGCTATTTAACACCACCGACAATACTGCTACCCTTCAAAAAGACCTCGAGTATGTATCAGAATGGTCAAACAAATGGCAACTTCAAATCTCAACAAATGAATGCTCTGTCTTACATATTGGCAAAAAAAATCAGAAAATAAAATACAGGCTGAATAGTCAAGTCCTTGTTGATGACCCAAACTCTGTCAAGGACCTTGGAGTACTCATCTCTAATGATCTAAGTGCTAGAGCCCACTGTAACTACATAGCCAAAAAGGCATTAAGAGTTGTTAACCTAATCCTGTGTAGCTTTTTCTCAGGTAATATCACACTAGTAACTAGAGCATACAAAACTTTTGCTAGACCAATACTTGAATACAGCTTATCAGTCTGGAACCCGCATTACGTATCTGATATTAATACAGTGGAGAAAGTCCAGAAATATGTCACAAGAAGAGTTCTCCACTCCTCTACTCATTGCAGAATACCTTATGCCACCAGACTCTCAATTCTAGACTTAGAAAACCTAGAACTACGACGCCTTCAGTCTGATCTAAGTATGGTACATAAAATTATATATTGCAATGTCCTACCTGTCAATGAATACTTCAGCTTCAACCATAACAATACAAGAGCAAACAATAGATACAAACTCAAGGTAAACCACACCAAACTTGATTGCAGGAAATACGACTTCAGCAACAGAGTGGTCAATGTCTGGAATACTCTACCTGACTCTGTGGTTTCTTCCCCAAACCCCGAAAACTTTAACCTTAGACTGTCTACTATTGACCTCACCCCTTTCCTAAGAGGTCTGTAGGGGGTGTGCATAAGCGCACCAATGTGCCTACCATCCCTGTCCTATTGTTTATTTTTATTTTTTTAATTTTTCTTATATGTATCCATGTATTCATAACTATGTTTTTACTTATACCTATTATCTTGTAAGTGATTGACAAATAAAATAAATTGTAATGTATATGTATATGTAGATATATTGCTTCTAACTGAACACGTTCACCTGTTGAAATTCGTGAACCTTATTCCTTTCATCTTGGTATGTCTTACTAAGGTGAACCGTTTTAGAACTCTGGTGAAAAGTAATCGTTGGAGCAAGCATGTGCCTGAATTTAAATTAAATGTAGTTTTTTGTCCTGGCTGCATCCATACTTTTGTCGAGACTCGTCCCACTCTTTGGAATGTAGTCCTGGTCACGCAACTCAGTGGCCACAGGAGGCCCAATGAATTCATCCTTGGGGAAAGAAAAATAAAAGCCCCTTGAGAACAGAGTGAGGGGAACACTGAAGTAGCAGCGAAGCCTTCTTCCATGGAGAAAACATAGGACAGGATGAAGTTCTTGAAAGAGTCTGGCAGCATGAGTTGGAGCCTTAAATGGGAGAACTTCAGACTGCAACACTTGGTTCCAGTTAGTGAGTTAGATCAAACAGAAACTGACACCATGGGAACCTTTTATTACAAACAGCTATAGCATTGGCACCTCGCAGATCTCAATCTGCTTTCCTTCCTCCCTCTTTCTCATGAAAATGGCGGGAGTGGGGGTCTTTCTGGGGCATTTCGATAAACCACTTTCTTGACCTGGGTTCAAGTCCTGTTTATCTGACCATTGTCTTGGTAGTGGATCTTCCCTCTATCCTTCAAGACCAGGGGTGTCAAACTCGTGGCGTCACAGCGGCGTCACGAAACATATCGGGACTTTTCCCCCCTTTGCTAAACCAGGCGGGGGAGGGGCCAGCACGTGACGCATCTCGCCTGCGGGCCATGAGTTTGACACTCCTGTTCAAGGCCATCCCCTGTACCCCTTACACATTTTGATTGGATTGCATGGATTTGCCCGTGTAAGTTACATAAGAAGTAAATGGGGAGGGAGGAGAAAGATTCCCTAAAGTACTTTTTTGTCAGCATACTATTTGGATTATATTTTTTCCTGGGATTTGAAAGGTATCCGTTATTTAAAGGGGTGTCAGTTAAATTAAATGCCCTGTCTTGCTTGAGTACATGTCATAGCTTATCCATGTTATTTAAAAATAGCTTCGTCAGACCTGTCCCCCAGTGTTTATATAGACTAGAAATACTTTGACAATGTCTACAGGTTCCCATTCCTCACCCTACTATGGCTCTGAAAGCTGCCTGAGTTGAGGAAACTGAAAAAAAAAATAGTTGCTGCATTTAAATTATTTGGAGGATGTTATTTTCCCTTGTTCCACTGAAAGTAATCAAATAGATTTAAGACTGTGTAAATCACCTTGCCATGTCAGTTCCAGTGCCTTATCCTAAATTTACTAGGATATATTAAACATAAATATGTACACTATAAAGGACTTATTTCTATCTACAAGCAATTATTTCCCTGGAGACCAGCTATATAATGACATTCCTTCCAGAATGCATCCAGATGCTTTTATTAGTTCTAATCCAAGCTAATTACGATAGTGCATTATCAAGAGCCTTCTCTCATGCCATGCAAGCAACATAACCTTCCAAGATAATGAAATGCAATATTCTTCAACTTCTCCTATAGGGAAGCTTCTCCTGAAATTAATGTAAATTAGCAATGGAACCCAAGTCATCTTTTTAGTACAAATGACTTGGCCCATGGGATTCTAATGATATTAAATGCCTGCAATTAAGGGGAGGTACTTTCTAATAGAAAGTGAATGTTTCAGCCATAAAAAGGTGGCAATCCTTACTATTTACCTAGAAAAGCTTCCCATGGTGTCTCAAAAGATTTGACATTCAACAAATGACAAACCTGCAGTCATTTACTTCTCTGGGAAGAAGATCTACTTCTTGATGTCCATGGGGCTTACTTCCAAATATTCTTGGCTAAATATTTTCATCATTTTTTTAAATAAAATTTCTTATTGAGCTCTATGCACGGATAACTAGTAACATATAAAAATTAGTTTATGCACCCTTGGGAGTAGGGCATGCAAATAATTTTAAAAGAGAACAGCACCGTAACAAATTTGCTTGTACTGTAGGAAATATTCCTCCTTCAGTGCCAAGTTTTGCAAGGCAACTTACCAATATTTTGACCTCATAGTTGTTTTTTTTTAAAGATAAATGAATAGTTGAAATGTACAACATGGTTTTCAAGAACAAAAACTACAGAAATAAAAATAGATAAAAATTGCCATTGCAGCATAACATTATTAACAAATAACTTCAAATAAATTAGATGAGAAATCCCAGGAGGGGAAAAAAAAAAAAACCTTCCTTGTTTGATTTTGAAAGGGAACAAATGAAATACCTGACATGCATGACAAAGCTGGAAGGTCATCACCTAAAGGTTCATTTCTGCATAGCCACCTACCAAATCCAGGATGGGGGTTGGAATTAAGAACGGAAATTTGGAAAGAGATCTAGGCAGTGGTGGGATTCAACAAATTTTACTACCGGTTCTGTGGGCGTGGCTTGGTGAGCATGGCGTGGCTTGGTGGGCGTGGCAGGGGAAGTTTACTGCAAAATCCCATTCCCTCCCCATTCCACTAACCTGCTTTCCAGCTCCGTTCTCCTGTGCAGGGCAACAAAACAAGACCCAGCCAATCAGCTGGGACTAGGGAGGCAGAGAACAGATGGGGGCGGGGCCAGTCAGAGGTAGTATTTGCTGGTTCTCTGAATTACTCAAAATTTCCGCTATCGGTTCTCCAGAACCTGCTGAATACCACCGCTGGATCAAGGGCTCAGGCATGAAGATAAAAGAAGAGTGGCAGTAACACTGAATTTTTTTGGGGGGGCGGGGTAGTACCTCTGCCTATGGCATAATTGGGCTTGAAACAACACAATGTCCTATGAATTCAGAAACGATAATGAATGCTAGGTGGCTGAGTTGGTGGCTTTTTTGTTGAGTGGGATGTTCAGATGCATTTTTTTTCATCTATATCCTCAGATTCTTTTGTGTTCAACCAAGAGGATTGAAGGATTACAAAGATGTGGGATGAGTGAATTGAAAAAGGTTGTTGCATCACCACTTTCTTGATTCTTTTGACTTTATATATTTTTGGCTCTTTCTCTAATAGCAGGTTTGAGATATGTCTGTTTTGACCTTTCTGCTTTTTTTCCTGCCTGACACCTCTTTGCACAAATTCTTCTACTACAGAAATATGCACACACACACATATGAGATTTCCTGTCATGAGGCGTCTGCCGTTCTTATTTTAAATATATGATAGGGGCCCTGTGCTTAGCATGTTCAGTTACTAACATAAGATCAAACACGCTGGTTTCCAAATCAAAGGCCTCTTTCAGCCAACCTGGTGCCTTCCAATAATTTTGGACATTAACTCCTGACAAATACAGTTACATAGCCAATAGCAAAGTACTAAAAGTACTACAGAGTTTCTCTTTCAGAATGTTTGTGAGAGGAGAGCATCCTCTAAAGCAGGGGTATCAAATTCACATTGTCACAGTAGCGTCATGTGACTTAGCGGGACTTTTTCCCCTTTGCTAAACTGGGTGTGGGCATGGCCAGTGTGTCATGCATCCGGCCCAAAGACCTCATCGTTTATCCACTTATTTAACACACTGACATAAATGTGTGGACATATGTACGTACACACTATGCTTTAAATTTGCCCCTGTTCAGGAAAGGGAAGCACTTTAGATGAAGTGGTCAGAACAGTGAAAATTGTGTTCATAATTTGGAGGAAAGGGAGGTTTGCTTTCTTGATTCTGATTGCTTAAAAAAATGGAAAAAAGCCACTGTGCATGTTTACAGCAACACAAAGGTGCACAACTTCCATATTATCTATTTTTTAATGATTTACCATAATCAGGGATCCAAGTAACATTTTGGGGTCCAGTGGGAAACCCCCTCCCCCCCATGAGTTCTCTTGAGATTTTGTATATTACAGTACTTGCAAAAGAGGCCTCTTTTATAGGGAAGAAAAATTCCTACATACAATAGGAGCTGGATTCAATTTGGTATGAATGCAAATATTTTTCCCTCTCGCATATTATTACAACTTAAACAGTTATTTCATTTGAAGAAAATTCAGGAGGAAAAGAGGCATGGGTCTAGCTTGCCTTAAACACATCCAGATTCAACTGTTTTCCTCTGAATACATTTAAAAGGCCCAATTAAATGTGATTAGAGTTGTAGCCTACATTTCAAAATAGATGTCATGGAAATCAATCAAGATCCAGTTTGATGGCCCAATTCAGTTCAAATTTATGATTTGCTGGCAACAACATTCTATTTAAATTCTGATTTGAGGGTTGATTTGATGAACGTTTTGACTATGGGTTACAATGAAAAAGCATAAAAATGCCAACAGCTGCTTTATTTTTGAAAGGATAAGGATGGAAACAATTCAGTAGAACCTTTAAAGGGCCCTGCAACATTTTAGGAAGAGAATTTCAAGGAATTCGTGGCAATAAATTTTAGAAATATTTTCCATTTTACTTGTCCTAAAAAAGAACGATGAAGGGGAGGGCGGAAGAAAACAAATTTAAATTGTCCAGCAAACAACTTCTAGTTCAGCTTAAAAATAACTATGATCAAAAACTGTTCCAAAAATTAACTAAAGATGGAAGAATTCACCACATTTGATTGACTTCCTTTTCAGATTTGGCAGGCTTATTAATATAGTTCCTTGGTTAGGTTAGGCTCTTCTGGAGATGATATGCTGCTTGTGCAACGGTTTCTTTTTAAAGTTGAGAAGTGTGAGTGGAGAATATTACTCTTGTGCCCATAATAAACTAGTATATGAAATACTTCATGTTATACCCGATCGTTGAACACTGTCTCAGACTTGCTCACATAGGCATCATCAGCAAACTAAGATCAAGTCAACATGACATATCCACAGTCGTATCAGGAGGCAGGTTCCACCCCGATGTACTTGTGCCCAAGATCGGATGGAAGTTTATATTTGCATCAGGATGTGACGATACAAGTTCTGTCATTTACATACGCACGCACACACACACACACACACACTCACCACACAAAAAAGCCTCCTGTCAGTTAAACTAACCCACTTACTATAAGGTAAAACAGATCTGGACAAAGGATTTGGAGGAGATGGAATTTGTTTTTCATTTGGGGATGCAGAGGAATGGAAGAGCTGAAGAACTGCAGACGGCATACAGAGATTAACAGGGACTTTACTGAAGGTCAGACCACTGATTTGAAAATGAATGGAACATAAGCATAAAAGTTACATACGTTCTTGGCAAAGTTAGAGGTTTACAAGAAAGAGCAAAGCAGATTAGGAAAAAGAACAGTGCAAACTGTCTGAATCTTTGTTTCTTTCTTTCCTTCTTTCTCAGTGAGCAAACTGATTTGCTCAATGAGCCTTAGAAGGTTTTTGGAGGAGACAGAGACACAGAGAACGGAGCAACTATTCCTCACCATGCAATCCGATAAGCAGGATTTTCAAGGATAATATTTATTCGCCAACTAATTGCACCGGTATAAAACAGCTTGTCACTCTAAGCATGGCATTCTTTCCCTTCCAGCTCTTTTCCATTTATAAAAAGAGAACTGCAAAATTATTGGACGCTGCAGAACAAGAAAGGCCACTGGATCTCCAAACTGCCTTGAAATCTCCCAGACACTGTTTGGAGGACTAATTGAAAAGATTCCATTTGAATATTTGATTCTGGAGGTGATTTCAGCAAATTCCTTGTCAATTGAACCAGTTCTTTAAAGCTCTGCACAACCCTAATAATTATTCTCAATTAAAGAATTCTCAGCCCAGGACTTTCTTCTAGTACTAGAACCAAACAGAGTTTCTAAGACTTATGTATTAAAAAATTCATTGGCTTAATTGCAGGATTCTTACAGCAGGATAACTTAAAATGTGTTGAATGGGGAAAGAAAAAAAAGTAGCTGATATTGTTACCCCTATCAGGGATCAGAAACCTATACGATCCCTTGCATATCATTGCAGGCAATTACAATACTTGCACAGGATATTTAAACCACTTATGACTGAACCTGTTGCCTAGCCTGGAAAAAGTCCAGCAAAGGAGAATCTTACTGTTCACTGTAAAATTGCTGTTGCTATTAAGAAGTGTTTCCTAACTTTTAATCAGAATCTGCATTCCCACAGTTTATTATATGTCATGCACTCAAGGATGTCAGCTATTGTCTTGTTGGCTTCTTCTGGCTGATTCCTTTAAATAATTGAGGAATGCTACAGTGTTTTCCCGAAAATAAGACCTATACTGAAAATAAGCTCTATCCTGATTTCATGTTTGTGTCTAATATAAACCCTACCCTCTCAAAATAAGCCCTACTTAAGAGCCAGCACAGCCAGCCCAGCCAGCCATCCGCCCATTCTGTCTGGTTTCTTGTGGTGCTGCCAACATGAGGTGAAGCAAGGCAGGTGTGGGGTGGAACTGTCCCACGCTCCCTGCACCACCTTACCTCCACAGCCATGCCATCCATCCTCATGGCAGCAGAACCAGCAATCCTGTCCAGCAGGAGCCCATGTGGCCACTGGCCCACTTCTTTTCCAATCAATCAATCAATCAATCACTCAATCAAATGTTTATTGTCAATGTACAACATGTGTACAATGAAATTGAAATTTCATTCTTCTTCTGCTTGCTCATGGATAAAACAGAGCAGGAGGCTGAACTGGTGCCAGGGCTATGAGCAAGCAGAAGAAGTGGACCTCCTGTACATGGAAAAAAGACATCTTCCAAAAATAAGCCTTGGTGCTTTCCAGCTAAAATAAGCAAAAATAAGCCTTAGTGCTTATTTTGGAGCCCCCCCCCAATATAAAACCCACTCTTATTTTCAGGAAAACATGTGTCATCTCTCTCCTTGGTTGTCCTCTCAGCCCCAATAACTTTGCCCTCAGTCCCCCTCAGTCTCTTCATGTAAAATTAGTTTCTTGTTCTTTCTATTCTGACCTTCTTTCCATCCATTACTTTAGTTTCTTTGAATCCCAGCATAGGAACCAAGTGGAGCTGGTGCAATACAGGATATAGAACTATTAACTTCCTATGATTTGAAAACTACATTTTTATTTCTGTTGCTTAAATTGCATTTGTTGTTGGGGTTTTTTTTTGGCAACCCTAAAAGCATATTCAGCTGATTTAAATTCAGCTTGTTATTCCAGTCTCAACATCCTTTTCACAAATAACCCGCCAACTATTGCCATGATAACTGTGCATGTGATCAATTTTGCCAAATGAAGAACATTCATTTGGGTCTATTAAATTTATATCTTTTTATGCTTAGCACATTTCTCTAACCTATATTCCAATTCCAATTTCATCTGTTTCTGATATGCATGATACAAGATGTAGATAAATGCCATCCAGTGGCTTGAACATACAAATGCCACTGTTTGAAGTATTGGACAAATAGCAATTTGACTACAATTCTACAAAAACAAAGAGAAAAAAGAAAGAAAGAAAAAAGAACGTTCCTATTTCACTATGCGTATGGTGAATAATTGCTATATTGAAGCTGTTTATTTTCCTTCATCCATATGACCGTTAGCAAATCTAGTCTTGTGAACAAGCACAGATGAAAGATGTAATTACACGACAATATTGGTGAACTGGCAAGGGAAAACATACCTTTTTCTGCTAAATCTTTCCACCTGTCTTTGTTTTCCTGTATGTTCTGGAATAGGTTGTCTTTAAAGCTTCTTAAATCCACCATTGTCAAAGCGTTTTCTGAGCAGGTCCCACCAACACATGCAGCATTTTTTATACTTATCTTTTTGTGTATATCACTGCTGGTACTTCCTGCACTATTTTCACTACAAAGACGGGAAAAGGTTAGATTAGAATTACGATGCCTTTACTGCCTGGAAATACAAAAGCAGAACATTTCTGGTACACTCCAAAATGTTGCCTAACTCCAGAATGCAGAATTCAACTAAATTGGGGTCAATTCATTCATTCTTGTGATGTAACCCTATGCAGATTTTACAGCTTTTACCATTCTAACATGTTCCCCTCTATGTATGGAAATAAGGTGAGTTTCCAGAGGACTACAATATTTCCAGAGGACTACAAATGGAAAAGGCTAGTTTAGAAACAAACCTCAGTGATTTCAATGATACTGATTTCCAGCAAAGAATACATAGCACTGAAGCTTAAATAAACTAGATTAGAAGAACTAAGGCACCTGCTAACTCCTGTGTAGTCCTTCCCCCTTCTTTAAAATGCAACAAAGGTATTCCATGATATCAAATTAAAACATGCACCTTTTACTTCAGATGATGACAGATAAAGTATTTGAAGTCAATGTTTATAGTATTATAAGAAGAGGGGAAATAATCCACACGGTAAAAAGTTTTTTTCTGCAATTTCAGTCTTGAGATTATATGTGAGTCCCAATCCCTTCTTTAACATTTTGTGTATAACAATTTATATGTAAGCCTACTGCTCTACAATAAACAAAATCAGAATAAACAACACATCCTGTCTTTTGCCTTTCATAAATTCAGTTTCAGACTTGAGTAGAATAAAATCCAGAAATAACAATGGCAAATATTGCCACTAGATGGCAGTACTATATCAGGATCATTGCAGTTTCTGAAAATTAAAATTGTCTAGGAGGAAAACAAGGAGATAAGAACAACATCAAAAAAAAAAAACCCAAAACCTCAAACCTTGGTGTTGTCACAAAGGTAGAACTTTCGGACTTCGATGCTTCCTCTATGAGAGGAAAAATTATTTTCTCCATGGAATCGGTAAGAAGAGCAAATGTTGGTTTCACTATGAAATCAATGAAACCTGTAGAACAATAGAAAGGGTGGGGTAGGAAGAGACAACATTTAAATCTTCTTCAGTCCAGAGGTGGGTATTCAGCAGATTCTGACCAGTTCTGGAGAACCGGTAATGGAAATTTTGAGTAGTTCAGAGAACCAACAAATGCCACCTCTGGCTGGAGATTTTACAGTATCCTTCCACTGCCGTGCCCACCAAGCCACGTTCACAGAACCGGTAGTAAAAACATTTGAATCCCATCACTGCTTCAGTCAGAATGAAAAACTTGACACAGGGGATGTTAGCACTGGGGAAACTAAATAAGGATCAGTTTCAATCCATGGCAGGAGAGGAGAATACAGAAAGCCCATCTAAGGGAATCCCCAGTAGTACCATTTATATAAGCAGGAAATACTTAGGACATTGTACGAATGGAAGGGCACTGAGATCCTGTTTTGTGCAAAAAAAAAAGGACGGGGGATGGACGGCAAGACAGATCTCACTAATTTCTCCTGTCTCCTCTCACCACTATTCTTCTAGACATCTTTTGTGGGGCGGGGAGACCCAGGAAATAAAAAAATAGCAAAGGCCCCTTCCCTTCCAAATGCTGCCAATAGCTAGAACTTCACTAGATATATTACTCTGGATTCAACCCACAAGCTCTTTGAATATTGAACCATTTTGTTTATCCCAAAGGTGTTTATTTTTCAGGAGGCAACTAGAGTTTCTTGTTTTTCTTTGAAGACATTTCACTTCTCATCCAAGAAGCTTCTTCGGCTCTGACTGGATGGTGGGGAATGGGAGGATTTATATTCCTTGCAGACAGCTGGTCTTAATCAGTGGTGGAATCGTGGTCTCAGACCATTTTGTCTCAATTGGCCATTTAGTTTAATAGCAAAAGACTGGTTAATAATTACAACGCATCGTAAAAGCTTCAGAAGGAAAGGAATGTTTGTGGACCATTTGTTTCATGGCAGTTTCTAAGTTATTAGTTTTTAAAATCAGTAATCTTTTTTTAAAATGGAAACAAGATGACCAAAATCTGTCACACATTTTGAGATCATTAAAATCAAAAGTTTAATGGGGAAAAAAAAAAAAAGAAGAGTCGTTGAGGCCACTTGGAGGTTTAGCTGTGTCCTCAGGATCACCTGAGTAGTGCAAATGCGTGTGGAGACTTCTTGGCTGCAGGATGTTGTCTGCCCTGCGTCCTCTCACTGTTGAAGACAGGCACAGGTAGTTGTGGAGGAGCCTGTGCTGTCTGCATCTCAAACTGAAGTGCAAATGGTTCCTGTAGTCTGCAACAGGGAGGAAAACATTCTGCAGCCAAGAAGGTTCCACACCCATTTGCACTACTCAGATGACCCTGAGGACATAGACCAGCCTCCAGGTGGCCTCAGTGATGCAAATGAGCAGCTCTCTGTAAGGAGTATAAATCCTTCCATTTCCGCACCATCCAGTCAGAGCTGAAGAAGCTTCTTGGATGAGAAGTGAAATATCTTCAAAGAAAAAACAAGAAAGTCCAGTTGCCTCTTGAAAAGGCACCTTGGGACAACCATGACCTGGAATGACTGAGAATCTCCATAGACAATAATTTTGTTTGTTCCATCTAGTAAGCTCTCTTAAGTGGGATTAGTTGTATTATGTTCATAGTGCGCAGAAGGGAGGTGTTAGAAGGAGTTCAGCAGACATGAATCTAAAACGGCATCCGATATAGCTTGCCTCCAACTCGATGTACTTGTTTTATTCTGAATTTAATGTGCTGCAGATCCAGGACTGTGGTTTTTATGTTGACTCACAACATAAAAGTTGAAGAAGAACTCAACCTTTGGTATTTACAGGTTTTCATTTTCTTAATCGACTAATTATTCTGCAAATTTTCTCTCTGAAAAAAAGCACTGAAGGAAGAAAAGCACAGAGTTGGCGTAACAATCAGGGTTCATTTAATTGTTACGTTTGTCCCTCAACTCAGCTAGTTTTTATGTTGCATCCCCTTCTGAATTCCATAAGGCTGACTCTCAGATAATTCTGCTTTCTGTTAACCAGCATTTTGTTTGTTTGCTTGCTCATTTGCAGGGCTTACAGGGAGTCCTCAACTTAACAATCATTTGTTTAGCCAAGTTACAATGCCGCTGATTTTTTTTTTACAATCTTCCTCACACTTATAGCCAGGGGTGGGATTCTACAGGTTCGCACCTATTCGCTCGAACCAGTTGTTAACATTCTAAGCAGTTTGGAGAACCGGTTCTTAGAAGAAATTACTGGCCTAATCCTGTAAGGAAGGCAGGAAGGAAACATTCTGGTGTTGCTTACAGAAACTGCCTCTCCGTTAACCCTTATTACATTCTTGGCAGGACTAGACTTCCTGTCTCAGGAACGTCTCTGGAGTATTTTTCCCCTCCTTTGCTGGTACTTTGCTTGTGTGGAGTGACCATTCAAAGTTACAATGGCACTTTAAAAAGTGACTTATAACCATTTTTCACACTTACAACTGTTGCAGCATCCCCACAGTCATGAGAGGCCAGGTGAGGAGATGCGTGCCTCGATGTGATATTGACTTGGCCACGCCCAGCCAATAAAACGACCACCAAGCCATGTCCACCCAGTCACATGACCACCAAGCCACACCCACAGAACCAGTTGTTAAAAATTTAAATCCCACCCCTGCTTATAACTACCTCAGCATTGCCAGGGTCATGTGATTAAAATGCAGGATTAGCAAGGATTGCAGGATCCTGGGATCTCATAATCACCAATTGTGACCTTCCCAGCTGTTTTTCGACAAGCGAAGTCACTGGGGGAAGCTGGATTTGCTTAAGGACCACATGATTCACTTAATAACTGCAGTGATTTGCTTAACAATGGTGGCAAAAAAAGCTGTAAAATTGGGTGCGAGTCACTTAACAACCATCTTGCTTAGCAATAGAACCTCTGGTCCTAACTGTGGTTGTAATTCAAAGACTACTTGTATAAGGCTAACTGCATACAAATTCCCCACTAAGCAATTGGGGTTCAAACATACAATTAAGGGAACCAGAAACTAAAAGTATTCCTACGGTAATGGAAGAGGCATGACTAAAAGCATTAACAATCGTATCGAAAGGGAAAGAGAAAATGCTGTGACAACAATCCAGTTTGCTTTATTCAATGGAATGACCAGGTTGCCACCAGCTTCTGAAAAGCCAGGAGAAAGAAAAGCCAGTTTGCACACTGGGAGTATATCTTCTTCCAGAGGAGAAGGTAGTAGTTTGAAAGGCATGTTTCCTTGGCTCTAAAGCAGGGCTGTCAAGCTCCTGGCCCACGCGCTGGATGTGTCATGCGCTCACTGGTGCCCACGCCCGGTTTAGTGAAGGGGAAAAAAGTCCCAATACGTCCCCACAATGATGCCACTGTGACAATGTGAGTTTGACACCCCTGCTCTAAAGGACGACAACTTTAAATTGAGGGAAAGATATGAAAGAAGGTCTTCTGTTCTAAGAGGGGAACAATGAGCCGTTCAGAGATGCAAAAAAGATTTCTCAGTCATGAGAAAGAGGCAGACACGAGAAAGAAACTCAAAAGAGCCCTGCCTTGATTGTCTTTGGCATCAGATGTGGTAGAGAAAAACTTGGACAAGCTTTCAAGATGATGCTACAATACCTACAATATATATATTTAAATTGAAAGCCTTGCTTCTTTTGTTTCATGACCTTGCTAATCTTGTCCTTCTGACAGATACTTAGCAAACCAAGCTGGATCATATTGAGAGAAGATGCTTCTGCAAATATGCATGTCTCAGACCCTGAAGGGATTTAAAGGGAAAAACAGCACCTTGGATTGCACCTGCACACAAGGTACAAATAGGGCAGCTCTTGGAGTACAGGTGTTACATGAGCGCCTCAGGGAGTACCCACCTTAAGGGGCTGTACTCCGGACTAGCTGTAGCTTCCAAATGCTTTTTCAAAAACAGCCCTACATAAACTGCATTACAATAGTCATCAATCAAGCGGTGACAAAGGCATGAGTGACAGTGAGTAATGCCTGCCATTTCAGGAATAGATTGAACTGAGCAAAGACCCTCTTAGCCACATCTTTCAGCTGTTCAAACTGGAGTTGTAAATCTAAGAAGACCTCCAAACGGCAAACCAAATCCTATCTGGAGGAACGCTACCCTGTTTAAAGTGATGATAGTATCTCACTGGGAATAGCTATGCTTTGAACTCGGAGCCATGCTGTCTTCCTGCAACTGAGTCTTCACCTCTTCCCATCCAGACAGCTTTCAAGCACCTGCACTTCTGCAGCATCACTCAACCAGGGTCAAGATATCCAGTTGGGTATCATCAGCATACCAATGACCCCAACAAACTCATCCAAAAGCTTCATGCAGATGTTGAACAGGGAATAGGGAATATGTAGTAGTGAATATGTAAACCCCCAATTAAGGTGTGTAGGGCTTGAGCTGTCCTCCCTTACAACAAACAACTAAATTCATCTCTTCAGGAAGGAGAACCATTGCAACGTAATCTCCTCCCCCACCTAAATTATTGGAGATGACTCAGAAGTTTGACTGATTGTACTGAAACCCATTGAGAGATTAAGCAACATTAGAAGGGGCACATTAGTCCTGTCCCGTTGCCACCCAAAGTCATCAGTAAGTGCCTTCATACTGTTTCTAAGCCCAGAATCACATGACGGAAATGAATTCAGACAATTTTGACTTGAGGATTTTGAACATTCATGTGATTGGATTTATATTTGAAATGGCTCTTTATTATGTGTTGCTGGTGCGATTTGACAATATGTTGACAACGTTCTGTCAGATTAGTGAATAAAACAAGAAATAATCCTTGGAGACAGAATTCAGCCCAGGGCTCAGAGATGGCAATACTAAACATTGCACTTGTGCTTCTTGTCTGGTCTTCATTTTATTTATAAAAGAAAACACTTGTCAAAGCACTGAAGTACGTTCCACTTAACAAGCGAAAAATGGAAATCAACATAGAATGGTACATTCTAGAATAGAATAGAATAGAATAGAATAGAATAGAATAGAATAGAATAGAATAGAATAGAATAGAATAGAATACTTTATTGGCCAAGTGTGATTGGACACACAAGGAATTTTTCTTGGTGTAAATACTCTCAGTATACATAAAAGAAAAGATACATTCGTTAAGAGTCAATAATCATAATCTACCTACATATTTTACATCCTCTTGATATGTGTCAGTTGACTCAGTATCCCAAGGTAGCCCAGACATGAAACACAGCCAGATGAGTTAATTAAGGCTACATTCACATAATCTTGTAAGTCTAATAGTACAAATTGTCTGCCGTCTTTTTTACAGTCTAACATAGGTTCCTTTCTGAGTCTCTTCGCTGTCTATTATGAATCTGTGGGCTATGACCTCTCTTATTTGACTGTTCCTTAGGCAAAATCTCTTCCTCTTGTCTTCCAAGGACATTGCATCATGCTAAATAAATGTCCCATTAAATATATTGTTACACATTGATAAGGAGTAGGGAAATACTGCACTCCTGTGGCATCTGAAGCACTTTTTATTCATCATTTTTGAAGCATCCATAGCCCTATTCTATACAAATATATCCCAGAACCAAGCCATGGGATACATCATGGTCCAGAAGTAATCAAACATTTTATGGATCAATTCAAAAAGAAACAATTCTTATGGAGGACTGTTAGGAAACTGATGGAAATTGTTTTCTTCATCTAGAAAGGGAATAATTACAGTACCAATAGAATGCATTTTTATATGATAAATTTATTTATGATAAAATCTTATTTAACAGAATAATAGATTTGGAAGGGACCTGAGACCTGCTGAAGCAGGAGACACTATACCATTCCAGACAAAAACAAGCTATTTGTTATCAATGTGTGCCACGATAATGTTGCAGGATCCGGTCTGGGTCAGTCCCTAGAATCAGAGGTTTAGTCTTCCAAGCTTTTGGGCCCATGCTGGAGCCCATCCTCAGGAAAGAGTTTCAGAAGTTCCCCGAGGACCAACTCAGATTGGATCCTGCAATTATTTGTTAGTTTCTTCATACATATTAAGAATTGGTTGTGTATTTTCCAAAATGTGTTGGGAAGAATGAAGTTCTGCTCTCTGGCTTATTTGTTTTTGTTTTGTGACTATCCACCCTACAAGAACAAAAGCTAGAAAAGACTATGGAGAAAAGTGGTTCATGAAAGCAGCCACGCTCTTTTGAGAACCATCATTAAGCCACAATATTTGTACATTTGCAATAGTGCCTTCTCTCACATCACTGATTCACCGATATACCTGTGACGGAAAACTAGTTTTGATAACATCCAAAGAGTAATATAACAACCTATACGCATGACAGAGTCTAACTCAGTGCTGTAAAAATGAACTAAGAAGGGACACTGATAGTCACTTGTAAATGAGAAAGATACACTGTGAAGCCCCTTCCTCATCTACACTAGCAGCGGTGCCAAGAATTGAGAAAACATGCTGGGATCCCAAAACACTAGTTAAAAACTCTATGAATCCTCTATCTTATTTTTCCAGTGATGCTATTCTCTGTGAGTAATGCATACTGAAAAATAATTGAAAGCTGAACTGCCTAACAAAACCAATCCTGTTCTGTTGAGCATTTCTTTCTTTCATTGTAAGACTTTGTTTTAAATTTAAGAAACCAACCCTTACCTATTTGGGATTGTGCCACCATGGTGGATTTCCGGTCACAGAGTGGAGAGAATGGTAGCCCTAGCTCTGCCTCTTTGTCTCCCTAAAGTCAGGGGAAGAAAACATATGATTCTCAACATATAATTGAAAGTAAGTGAAAGTAAAGTCAAAGTGAAAGGAAGTGTGAGCATTCAGTCATTACAACTATATACATATGTTCCTAAGTATTTAAAAACCAAACATCTGGCAATACAACTCTAGGCAACGGGGAGGAAAAGTACACAAACTGGTAAGTAAGCCTGTCCCTTTCTCATTGCTTGCAGTAGAACTCTTAAACTGTATCTGTCATAGTGAGTGATGGAACCTCTTGATTACTCAAGGTATATGTCCTTCAACACACTCTCTTCAGTATGTCAACTGAGATTTTTTTTGTGTTGTTGTTTTGTGTTCTATCAACTTCTGGACAAGGTAAATGGATTCTCTGTGCCTTTACAATGGCCAAAAGATTGGTATTGCAGCATCAGAAAGAAAAATATATGGCTCCACTTGTTCAATGGATTGAAGACCAGATTGTATTTGTGCAGATTGTTTATAATGTAGACTTGGCATGGGCAAGTGTAATGAAATAAGGTACCCATTTATACAAAGTATAGTATATACAATATATTGTATAGTAGAAGAATGATAGTTATATAAATGGATTAGAAATAAGTGTTTATGTACTTGAATAATATTTACATTCAATAAGTATATACAGAATTTTAACTGTTAACTGTTATAATGATGTATTATACTTAGTTTCTTTCTTTTTTCTGTTATTTTTTCACTTTTTATGTGCCATTTATTTGAAAGTGCATGTATTTGCATTATTTTAGGGTTTTGTTCATTTTCTTTTTCAGTTATTATTTTAAATGCAATAAAAATAAATTTCAAAAATCTGTTTTCTATTAACAGTGATGTCCTGACTATTTGGTTACCATGTTTTAAAATTAGTTTGATTTGTATTTCCAGGCCTGGTTTATCCAGCTGGAATTTAATAATTAATTAGCTTCCAAAACTTGGTGTCTTCCGTGCTTTATAATTATGCTGGTTGGACGGTGTGGGAATTACAATTTCAGTTCTTCTGGAGAGCATCAGGTTGCAGCAAGCTGCATTACGCCATAATTTTGCATTTAATTGGGAATTTTGCCTGAAGGAAACTATGCTTAAATATTAAACCTAGTACAGAAGGGAATGGAAAAGGTGACATGTATGTATGAGCAATGCTAATTCCTGATTTAATAATGATTGCTATATCTGCGCCCTTTGAAACCTCACTGTGCTGGATTATAAAAATAACGTGCACCATTCCAAAATAAAAGAAAGGGTTTAGTTTGATTACTTTGGGACAAATGAAGTGTCTAAAGGGTTTCTTTTGGCACCTCCAAAAATCCCACCCATTTCTTAGAATCTGAGTGTGAGTATAACCACTTCTGAAAACAGCTCAAGGGATTGTGTTTTTCTTCATGCATCCATGCAAAGCCTTCTTCAGATATCTATCATCACATGGGAGATGAGTGGGAGGGGATCTTTTCAATCATAGAAGCCCCCCTGCCTTCCTGATCCTAATATGTCAACTTTCAGATTCTGGGAAAAGGTCTCTTTCACACTGGATGTTCAGGTTTGAACTGTTGTTTGCTCCTGTATTTTGTTCTTTTGTTATGATTTCAATAATTTATGTCAATATTATATAGGGCATTACTTACACTTTTAATTGGCTATTAAAAGATTGGAGTAAAAACAGTTAGGAAAGAAAATGGAGGAAATGACTGATCCTAACCACTGCGCCAAAGCTGTGGTGGCACAGTGGGGAGAATGCAGTATTGCAGACTAACTCTGCCAACTGTCAGCAGTTCAGTCTTGACCATCTTAAGGTTGACTCAGCCTTCCATCCTTCCAAGGTCAGTAAAATGAGGAGCCAAATTGCTGGGGGCAAGATGCTGACTCTGTAAACCACTTGGAGCACTGTGAAGCAGTATATAAGTCTAGATGCTAGCGCTATCTGCCATGGCTTGTGAAATGTTTATAAATACATTGGAGAGAAGTACCTGTCGAAAAAATTCTTCCATCAGGGCCTTTGTCCATCGGTAGTGCAGATCCCACAATTTTGATGGATGGCTGATGTCAGCAGCATGGAGGATCAAGGCCATGGCTCGGGCTTTGTCTATCCTGTCAATTTAAAGACATTTTTCTCATTATCTCTCTGCAAAGATAAGCTTTGCTCCAGATTGCAGATGCCATTTAAACTACACAGCCTGTGGCTACAGAAGGAAAGGTGAAGACATGCCACTTACCCTTCTGTTTGCTGAAGAGTGTGCCTCATCGTCTTGATTTGCTGGAAATGCCCAGACATATCAGTAGATAAAACCATCTCAATAACCAGGTTGCGCAGTTCCCTGTGGGCAATCAAAGTGATTAGAGTGGCATTAATTTTGTACTTAGGCACGTGGATTGTACTGCTCTGATTCATTTGTTTCTCAGCAGCAAAATTAGAAAAGAGATAAAATTACTTGAAACAATGAACAGTAAGTAATCTGCAATTTTGTGCTAGACAGCTTTACAAACATAACTTTAAGGCTGTTATTATCTATAGTTTTATTGCAAGTCTTTTCAAAATAGTGACCAGAGATTTAGATACAATGGGATTGGCTTACTTGTCTGCAATGGCAATGAGCAGATTTATACATGGTTATAATTCTGCCATCATTATCTAAACATCTTACTGGATAACATTGACAGAAGCAACCAACAGGTCAGAAATGGGCAGTCTGTGCCTCACAGTCCATGTCTAGGCCATTTTTGTGCCCTGAAATTGGTTCTGTTAAATTTCTAGCAAAAAGAAAAGTAATTAAGTATGTTAAGAACTTAACAGAGGAATCAACCTAAAAATCCCACCTTCCCTCCAAATGAAGGAAAATGGACCTCAAATTTTAGGCTTGTTCCAGTAACACAATAACATCACCACCACCCTATAGAAAACAACAACTCTAGACATAAAATATCTGGATCTACATTAAAATATGTAATTAGAGGATGTGGTCCTCTTCCAAAATATACCCTACTGCAGGGGTCCCCAACCCCCCCACCAGGCCACGGCTGTGTGAGAGGCAGGTGGGCGGGTGGGCAGGTGTGTGAAGCTTGTGCAAGTGGTGGGAACACATGTCCACCATTTGTGCAAATGGAGCTGTGTTTATGAGTATGTGTACCTGCCCCTCGCAGGGAACAATCCCCTCTCCCTCCTCCGCTGGTCCACCAAGTCGAAAAGCTTGAGGATCACTGCCCTACCATAAAGGGCTCCCTGTTGGAGAAGATCTCTCTGAGGAGGCAGATGTAGTGGATGAAAGAGTACAGCAACCAAACTTGTGATAGAAATGTGTTTACTCTGTGTGTGACAATCTTCCCCAAACACCTTGATTTGTCAAACATATTTGGGAAAAGAAATATTTTCTATGGAAACAGAGAAGCATGTACTGTAGCATCTGTCATTGATTAGTAACGGGCAACTTCCTTTCAATTAAATGTCCAGGATAAATTTGCTTTATGATAATAAATTTTGGGTTATTTTATACTAGCTTATGCTATCTTGCATTTATGCTAGCTTATTACATATCTTGCCTGAGCTGGTCAGTAAGTAATATGAAGTGGTTTGATTTTAGAATATTCTAGGACCATGTATGTTCAGGAATATTTTCCCAAGGTCATTTTTTTTTTCCTATACATTTTAAGAGGAAAGGAAGTGCAATGTAACCAAATAGCATTTGGAGCAGGTTTCAAAGCAGGACTACAAGTTTCTGTAACAGCTTTTTCCCCGATGCCATCCATCTGGCAAACTTGCTAGATTTGTTTTACTCACCATGTACATGCATACATCCGAACTAGACTGTGTTATTTCTCTGTGTCATATAATATATGATGGTATATGCATAATTTTTTTGTCATGTTTATGTAGTGTATATTGGAGATAGTGATCCTTTGAAAGCTGTGTGCAGTGAAATTTCATTTTAATGTAAGTCAATTAGTGTACATTTAAAGTGACATTTAAAGTTATTCCAAAGTGAAGTTATTCTAAGCATTGGTAAATGAGATCTGGCAATGGTTATCAGCAGAAAGTTTACTTCCAGCCACAAATCTCTAGGAAAAAACCCAAAGGGTTGTCCTCTCCCACTTGTTTGTAATTGTTGTTGCTAATGGTAGTGGTGGTGTGTATTAGAGAGAGGAAGATAAGACAGCATTTCAACATATTCTAGCACCCCTTGCAAAAAATAATCATGTCATAGATATGCTCTTTTGAGTCAGAGCAGCCAGAATCTCTCTCCTAATCTAAAATTCTCAGCTGTACCCTTTACTCCTGTGATTTTCTGTTTTTAAAATCCCCTCTTGAATAAGATCAGCATAAAATCTACTTTTTATTCATGGTGACATGTAAGCACCATTAAGCAGGGAGTCTTTAAGGAAGTTCTCTGCTGGAAAACTGATGGATTTCTGAATCAATGTTTTAAAAAGTTAGTGAATTAAATGGATTGCTATTCCTAAACGACTGTGCGCAGCTAGAGTAACTTGTGGTTGAAGTTTTGGCATGTGCAACAGTGCGTGTGAGAGAGGAGTAATGCAGCGGAGGATAGGATGTAATGAAATTCTTTGGAATATGGCTACAAAGTAATTTCTCTTAATCCAAACATTCCATTTACAATCACTATCCTCTTCTACACTAAATGCAATTTTTCTCTCTCCAGATGATCTGTTTATACCCCGAAGAATTGCAGTTCGCTGTAACAGGAGGCTGCAGTTGAACATGCCATGACATTCATTGGGGATGTGGGAGAATTTCACTGGCTCTGCCTTTTTCAATGAACTGAACTAATTCATGGTTGTCGTGTAAATACATGGGATCAAATGTCATCATTTTTCAGACTGTGCAACTCTCCAGATTATGTGCAGCTGGGCTGAAAAGTGCGTTTAAAATGAATTATTTACAGGAAAATGCATTTTTTCATAAGAAAATCAAATAAATGTTCTTTCCCCCATGTTTTAAAACTCACATTAAACTACATTGCAATGACAAACTTATCATCATAATAAACAGAAGACGCTACAGAAAAAGAAAAAATGCACTTATAAGTCCATTTGTTATCTTAAGGATACATATCCAATTTTAAACATCTATATTTATTATTTCTATTACCATTTTAAACTCTATTTTAATTCTGTTTAGATTTCATGATATAAACCTCTGGGAGTATTTTTTTTTAATCTGGCAGAATAAAAGAGATGGAAAAGATATTTGTGCAGACATGGATAATCTACTAGGAATGGTTTTGTTGACATAACTAAACCATGGGGATTAAATGTGAATAAGCATCCACATTTAAAGTGTCTTACTTTCTCATCTACTGTTTTAAATTTTCAGCCAAAACTATTTCCTATACTTTAGATATCATTGATTCAAAGAAAGGTACAGAGTAAAACCTTGATTTAATTGGCTATTTGGGAGAAGGACGTTCTGAGCATTTTTAAATGCAAACTTCCTTCCCTTATTTATATGTGTATGTACTGTATAATTATTTATATCATTTATGCAATGACAGATTTACATGAATTATATGTAAATGATTTCATTTGCATTATTTACATAAAATGCATTATAAAAGATGTAAGGCATAATCTCATCATGTAAATAATTTAAATTGATGCAAATAAAGTAAAATTAATGTTATTTTAAATGGTTCATCCAGACATCTTTGGATGTAATGGATTTGTCTGTTATTCTGGGGTAAATCTGGATGGAAATTTTCCCTTTGCATCTGAAGTAAACCTAGCAGATAACAGTTAACATAAAATAATGAATGTGTTGTGCTTCATCATTTTGCATGTTTTGGGGGAAATGAACAATAAAGTCACATTAGCATTAATTGAAACATTGTGTATTTTTTCAGTTTTATTTTAAACATTCAAGCAAAAAAAATAACTATTGATATAAAGAGGGTGGTATATGTTCATTTAGTTACAACTTATCCAATACAATCTAGAAAAAGTGAGAGAAAAGTTTTTTTAAGCATGAATCCGGAAGCTCAAAAAACTAAACCTCGGTCGTGGAGACCAACCCAGATTGGATCCTGCAACATTATCCTGGGACATGTCTATTTGCCTTCATTCATGACAATCTAGAAAGATTGATAAATGTAATGCAAACTTAAGTAGCTGCAGTACAGTCACCACCCATGAATTATTTTTACATTCAATTATAAATATGAGAGAGATTTCGAAGGAGCATTATATAATAAAGAAAAGTTACAAGGCCTGGAGGAACATTGTCCATGGGGTTGCGATGGATTGGACACAACTTCATGATTAATAACAACAACAAATATCAACCAGTGTTTGACAGATGGCTAGTTAGCCAGATTCAGTTAAGTCCATCTGAAAATCCATAATCCTGCCCCTGTTGAAGCAGCGGATGATACCAAATGCCAGCAGGGAAAAATAACATCGAGGTAATTATTAGGGTTATGTCACTTTATGCGCTCCTAAGAAGCAGATTAATGGCCATTTCAAGAAAGATGATGTTTGGATCACATTTAAAATTTTGCACACTACCCAGAGTCCATGGGAGTTGGGCAGCTGTAATAAATTTGAATGAATGAATGAATGTTCTAGCTAAACCTTCACTACCTTGTTTTCCTCTTGCTCTTTCTCTTCCTCTCTCTATGTCTCATAATTCCACCTAAGTCAAGTCACGTTATGTATCTGATGAAGTGAGCATAAGCATATGAAGGCTTATGCCTTAAAAGTAAGTTTTCTTTAGGCCCATTTTAGTCAGTGTTGACTTCTGGCAACTACTTGGAGAAGGCCTTGAAGTTTTTGGCAAGATTTTGGAAGTAGTTCGCCCTTGCCTTCTTCTTTCTAGGGCTGAGAGAGAGTGTGTGTAACTAGCCCAAGGACACTAGCTGGACTTAGTTAAGACTAAGTAAGTAAGTAAGTAAGGACCTTAGTTAAGACTAGAATTCAGGCGGTAGGACTTGTAAGAGAAAATGTAAGAATTGATTAGTCCTAAAAGCTGCTATCAAAATCAGGAACCTAGCAGCAACTTTTTTGATTAACTATTTTTATTAATTTATTTTAATAAATATATATTTAAAAAAAAACAATAATGAAATTTATTAGTTGGAAAAGGTGCTACCAGAATCCTGATTTCTTTTTGTCACAGTAGTTCACCAAACAAATACTATATCCCAGACAATACTGAACATGTTTTGATTGCCTTTCGCCTCATCTGAGTAACTCGTTTATTGAAAAACAGCAGTGGTAGGACGTTTAAAAATGTCCACATGATACAGATCATCAACCTTAGAAGATATAATATCATGCTTTGATAAAGTCATAGTAGTCAGTCAATAAGTACTAGATTTCTGATTGTTATGAATGATGAATGAATGATGTTCTTAATCAGGATATCAATCTTACCTCCATTCATCTTTTGTTAGATTCACCAGAATATTCATTTCCTCTTCTTGCATAATCTTATAAGCAGCACTAACATGGTGGTTTTCAAGAACAGAGCGATCATTGTACAGAATAGCAACGTCTGACCTAAATGCAGAGAGGGAACTAATAAGCCAGAAGTTCACAACCTGTCTACAGTATTATCCATCTGTTCTCTTAGTTAAGTGGAAATATGGCTGGTTGCAATGAAACCAAATGAAAACTTTGCCCGTTGGAGGTGAGACTACAGACTCTGGCTCCTGTAGGGCTTCTATATTATAACGAAGCTATTACAGTAGGTGGCAAAATGGTATTATTTCTTTCTTCCATTTTCATTCAAATACATAGGTTGAATAGGACCATCTCCCCTGATAAGAACATTAGATTGAATCTGTTTTGCAGAGGTCCATAATATCACAGGCAGCGGAAGTGTTAAAAATTAGACACTTTGTAGACATAGAGGTATGGTCCAAACATACAATAAACAGAGATGATATAATGAAAGTGATTTTATTATTATTTCTTCAAAGGAGTAATAGAATTCTTCTGTATACATTATTTCTTGGCAAATGAATGATTCTGTCATATCTGCTCCTTCTCTCTGTCCCTTTCTGTTTTTCTGATTCTTATTTAGTTTTATATATTTTAGATATAAGAGGGAGAAGGAAGGAGGGAGGGGGGAGGGAGGGGGAGGGGGAAGGGAAAGGGAGGCAGGGAGGGAAAGAGGGGGGAGGGATGGAAGGGTAAGAGAGAAGGTGAGGGGGGAAGGATGGAGGGGCAAGAGACAGGGAGAAGGGGAGGGAGAGAGGGGGGAGGGAGCGAGGGGGGAGAGAGGGAGAGGGAGAGGGGAGAAGAGAGGGAGGGGGAGAGTGGGAGAGAGAGCTGCTGGTTCTTGCTGTTTCATTCAGGTATAGTTCTCTTCAGAGTGTCCTGTGCCTGACCCTTTTTTCCCTGTTTTTTTTTTCTTGCAAAAGAAAAAAGTTGCAAAACACTAAGTAGCCAGAAGATATTAAAATATTATCCCTTAATTTTGTCAAGAATGGTGCAGTTTTCAGAGGTGCTGGCTCTTCAGCCCTGAGGATCAGGATTTAGAAACATGGGAAGCAGGGGTGGGATTCAATTTTTTTAACAACCGGTTCTGTAGGCGTGGCTTAGGTGGTGGGCATGGCTTGGTGGTCATGTGACTGGCTGGGCGTGGCCAACTCAATATCACTGCACAACCGGGTTACTCCCTTAATGACAGAAATTTGGGGCTCAGTTGTGTTCGTAAATTGAGGACTACATGTAGTCACATTCTCTTTGCCTAGTTAGCCTATTTCAAGGATTGCTGCATGGGTCCCTGGGAGGAAAGGTAGAATGTAACTACGTGGAAAAAAAAATAAGCCACCCAATATGGGAAGCCACGCTTAAGTGAGGCAGACAATTCCATTCAGAAACCCAGAATTGTTCTTTTTGTGAACCGTGCAGATCTGAAGTACTTAATAACCAATCCTCTCAATTTATTTTGTCTCAGTAGCTAATTCCCTCCATTTACTTTGTCTCTTTTTGCTTCTTGCTCTCACTCAGTACTCTTTTTGTCTTCTGAAAACTCAGCAACTGTTGTAAGAGAGGCATGTGCAGTGTGCTGTTGGCATTACTAATGTAAGTATGCTTCACCTGTAAATCTTCTACAAATCCAACCTTTGGCAGACTGCTCCCAGATTAGAGTTTTGTTGCAATTAATAAGCATCGTGCTTACCTGGTCTGAATGTGGAAATTGTTTGTAGTCCCAGTATGTTCATAGTCATGAACTGCAGCTGCAAAAATCATGGCTAATATTTCCAGTTCAGTGAGCCAGTGCTAATCAAGAAAAACAAAACCCATCATCTGTAATACAAATAGTTCACCCTTGCCAATTAAGATTTAAGGTTTTGCACAATCCTGAGTTTCTTCAAGGGAGCATTATAGCTTACTCTTGTATAGGTTTTTTTTTTCACATTCTTAGCAATATTCTCAGAAAGGAACCTTAACACTGTAGCTTTTGCCCTTACCATGATCCCAGTCAGAAGCATGATGCAATGTACAGTGTGGGTAACATCAGCTGCATGGATCAAGTTGTGGTACGGATTTTTATACTTGCTGTAGCCAATTTCCAAAGCTTCTCCAAATGAAATAAGACTTGGAACAGGAATCTGAAACAGTCAAAAAACAAAAAGCAAAATAAAGAAGGAGGAATATCCAAGATCAACATGTCTGCAAAATATGCAGGTACAAAGGTTTCATGCATAATCAATTTTGCCAGTCCAGCCTCCAAATGTCACCAGAAAAAAAATAAGTACATGAATAGTCTGAAGACAACTTTGCACTTGCCCTGATGAAACAGGAATGCAAACATTTCCAGTTCCCAATGGCCAAGTTCTATCACTTTCAGGCCATTATGCTAAACTGAAGTGAGTCACCTCACTATCTTTTTCTCACATTATCTCTATCTTTGTCTCCTGACAAAGGAAACAAGAATTAGGGTGACTGGTTGAGTCACCTGGATGCAAAGGCAGTCCCTTTCTTCTTCCTCCAATGGCCAAATTATACTAAAAAAATCATGTTTCCCTTGTATCATAAACAAATAAACACAGCAATACCATTGCTTAAACCCAAACCACACCAAACAGGCAGAGAACCATATCTTTTTTCCCAAGCTTTTGGAATGGAACAAGCTAGAAATAAACCAGTCATGATTTTATTATAGAGTGCCAAAGAGTTCCAGCTGGGCTTTCAAAAACAACAAAAATAATCTTCCTGACAAGAACAGGAGGAGACAGTAAGTGTTGCTATCTAAGATAAAGCCTACAGAACTTCACTTGAATTAACTACTGAGGAGAGCCCTCCCCAATCATTTCTACAGTCTAAAGTCCTGGCCTTTGGCCTTTTAAAATGCTGCCTCCTATCCTTTGCTTCCAACATAGCTTCTTATTCAAGGCACTGACCCATCATTGGACCTTAGCACCTGAAAGGGGACTCAGAGAGGCTGCTCTTTGTCAGGTTCTGTTTCGTGACAATGTTAGAGCTGATTCATTCATAAGCTTTCTCACACATGAAGATGTTGGATGCTGACTTGTGTCTATTCTGCTCCTTCGTTCTCATGACAGATGAACTTGCATGATACATAGGCAAGACTACACTCCCCAAGTTCATCTTAGCAAGACAGCCCAGAAGCATAGCATAGATGGAGCAGGTTCACCATTCTTTTTGCGCTATTTGATCATTTTAGAAATTATTCCACCTATTGCAAGCAATCATATGGAATGCATATTAACTAAGAGCCTCAGTGGCGCAGTGGTTAGAGTGTAGTACTGCAGGCTACTTCTGCTGACTGCTGGCTGACTGCAATTTGGCAGATTGAATCCCACCAGGCTCAAGGTTGACTCAGCCTTCCATCCTTCCGAGGTGGGTTAAATGAGGAGCCAGATTGTTGAGGCAATATGGGGTAAACTGCTTAAAGAGGGCTGTAAAGCTCTATAAAGTGGTATATAAGTCTAAGTGCTATTACTAACTTCTTTTCTTATTTGAGAATGTATTGCAAACGCACATCACTGCTTATGGACTTCCTTTTCTCTTACTGATTGCTATGTGTCTTCAAATTTGCCAGAGAGGCATATGAGAGGGAAGGGGAAGACAGCTGGGGAATGTCCACTTACCAAGGCTATTGAGGAAGTAAGAAAGACCAGGTACACTTTGTTTTTTAAATATGTATTTGTAGAGAAAGCTTCTCACCTTGAAACGGCTCAATAAATCATATCTAGTAAACAATTCATGCATCATAAATTTCAGACTGTGGCCTCCACTTGCTTCATTTAAGGAAAATACATCAAATGACCATTTGTCAACAGCCTAAAAAATAAGGAAGAGGAGAGATGCTTATGGATTTTTAGATTTTTTTTCCATATAATATTTTTTAGATAGTTTCATAATTTGCTTAAATATTATTAGATTATACAAAGTGCTATTTCAGCAATTTGTGTGTGTGTGTGTGTGTATCACCAATCTACTTAATGGTTTGTACACATGCACAAGAGAGAGAGAGAGAGTTGGTATGATTTTGGTACACCTAAGCCTTTTGCATTCAGTAGGTATTCATTAATTGGCTATTAAAATATCCTCCATTAAAAATCTAGAAATGCTTAAGCCTGACTATACAGGTAATCCTCATAAGACGCTGTGCCGGCAAAGACTCATTTCTGGCAGAATTTGGGGGAGAGAAAGAAAGACTTCTGCTGCTTTCCTTGCATGAAGCCAAAAGTCTCTCTCTCTCTCCTCCTGAGAATGGAGCTGGAGATGGTATCCTACAATCCCAAATAATGATCGATCGGTAGGAAAACGGGGTGGGAAATTTTCCTGCAGACTTTTTTGGGGAGTCTTCAATTTACAGGTTCATTTAGTGACTATTCAAAGTTACAACGGCACTAAAAAAGCGACTTATGACCATTTTTCACCCTTACAACCATTGCAGCATCCTCAACAAGAAAATTCAGACACTTGGCAACTGGTTTATATTTATGACGGTTACAATGTCCTGAGGTCATATGATCACATTTTGAGACTCTCTGGCGAGCAAAGTCAATGGGGAAGCCAGATTCACTTAACAACTGTGGCAAAAACAGTCATAAAGTAGGGCAAAAGTAACTTAACAACTATCCTATCTCACTTAGCAACAGAAATTCTGGGCTTGATTATCGTCAAAAGTCAAAGACTACCTATATTCTATTTTATATTATTCACTGAGTTACTTGCTTCACAGAAGAAGATATAATTCTGTCTTGCCTCTACATGGGACCTGCAATAAAAACCCAATCACCCTTCTGTGACAATATATTCAGCTGCTATTAGGCCATTTCCTAAGGTTTCCTTCCCCACCCAGGTGTTTTTGCTCAGGAGATAGCATTTCCTTCTTATGTACGGCCAATGCTGTTTCAGCACTGGAAAGAAAGATGATTAGTAGTATATGATGTTGAGACCAATTATATATCTATGGGAGCCTGGCTCCCCTGTTTTCCAGCTTCTTCTCACTGCTGAACCCATGTGCAGTCTCACAAGCAGCAGTTCTCACAGGAGACCCCTTCTTCATTGCAAAAATCATCACAACGACGGAATCCCCAATTATAACTTCAAAAAAAGGCAACTATGATCTTATAAACAATGATCTCTCATCCCTTGATTGGCAATTTCTATTCTCTGGATGCAATAATGTAGAAGACCATTACAACATATTTTTACTTGAAGTCAAAAGAGTCATCAAACTATATGTACCATTAACAACTCCCAAAACCAGAAAAACAAAAACAAATTACCCATAACAATAAGGAAGCTTCAATCCAAAAAGAAATCACTTTGGTGGAAAAACAAATCTGGCCACGTTGCCAACTTCAAAAGCCGATACAAAAATTTATGCCACTAGATAAAAAGTGAATGCACCAATTATCACATTAAACAAAAGAAAACATTCTACGCACCAATTCCACCCACACTTTCTACAGTTTTGTAAACAACAAACTAAAAGACTCAAGGTCCATCCCACCCCTGAAAGGACCTAATGGTAAAGACTGCAACGACGACACTATTAAAGCCAACCTCTTTAACACATTCTTTGGCTCAGTATTTGTAAACAGCAATGGAACATGCCCAGTATTTCCTAGTCGAACCACAGACAACTACAATGATCTAATACATATCAATTTTACAGTAGACAATGTTGAAAAAGCACTATGCAATCTAAAACCATCTTTATCTATTGGACCAGATGGAATATGTGCCTACTTCTTAAAAAAGCTATCCACTGCCATAGCCAAACCTCTAAGCATAATCTTTGAAAAATCTTTCAGGACCAGCTCCTTGCCAAAACTATGGTCACAAGCCACAGTCATCCCCATCTTCAAAAAGGGAGACCCCAGCCTAGTTGAAAATTACAGACCAATCTCTTTATGCTGCGTCACCTGTAAAGTCATGGAATCAATTATTAACTAATCCATCATCCTCCACTTAGAAACAAACAACCTACTATCTAATAAACAATTTGGTTTCAGGAAAAAACTATCATGTAATCTGCAACTCTTACACTGCAAAAACATATGGACTACACAACTCGATCAGGGCAAAGCAATAGACACAATCTACATAGACTTCTGTAAAGCCTTTGATTCAGTGGTACATGACAAACTACTCCTAAAACTAAAATCTTATGGTATCTCTGGATATCTGGATAACTGGATAGAAGCATTCCTGTCAAATAGACAACAAAAGGTCAAAATTGGGAGCGTCCTATCAAATTCTGTACCTGTCAACAGTGGTGTCCCCGAAGGCAGTGTTCTAGGACCAACTCTGTTCATACTCTACATAAATGACCTCTGTGATCAAATCAAGAGCAGCTGCATTCTCTTCGCTGATGATGTAAAGCTATTATACACCACAGACAATACTGCTACCCTTCAAAAAGATCTTGACTATGTAGTAGAATGGTAAAAAAAATGGCAACTTCAAATCTCAACTAATAAATGCACTGTCCTATATATTGGCAAAAAAAATCAGAAAATAAAATACAGGCTGAATAGTCAAGACCTTGTTGACGATCCAAACTCTGTCAAGGATCTTGGAGTACTCATCTCTAATGACCTAAGTGCTAGAGCCTACTGTAACTACATAGCCAAAAAGGCATTAAGAGTTGTTAACCTAATCTTACGTAACTTTTTCTCTGGTAATATTACACTAATAACTAGAGCATACAAAACATTTGCTAGACCAATACTCGAATACAGCTCATCAGTCTGGAACCCACATTACGTATCTGATATTAGCACAGTTGAGAAAGTCCAGAAATATTTCACAAGAAGAGTTCTCCATTCCTCTACTCGTTGCAGAATACCTTATGCCACCAGACTCGAAATTCTAGACCTAGAAAACCTAGAACTACGCCGCCTTCGGTACAATCTAAGTATAGTATATAAAATCATACATTGCAACGTCCTACCTGTCAATGAATACTTCAGCTTCAACCATAACAATACAAGAGCAAACAATAGATTCAAACTAATCGCACCAACTTGATTGCAGGAAATATGACTTCAGCAACAGAGTGGTCAGTGTCTGGAATACTCTACCTGACTCTGTGGTTTCTTCCCCAAACCCCAAAAACTTTAACCTTAGACTGTCTACTATTGACATCACCCCTTTCCTAAGAAGTCTGTAGGGGGCATGCATAAGCGCACCAATGTGCCAGCCGTCCCCGTACTATAGTTTCTTTTTCTTTTTTTTGTTTTTTTTCTTATATGTATCCATGTATTCAGAACTATGTTTTTACTTATACCTATTACCTTGTAAGCAATTGACAAAAATAAATAAATAAAATAAAATAAATAAATAGATTTGCAGGGCCTGTTGGGCAGTGGTGGGATTCAATTAATTTAACAACCGGTTCGCCCAGGGTCAGGTTGGCTGCCATAGGAGGCATGGCCCATACACTTCCTCCATCTCCACCACATATGTGGGACGAGCCTCCTGCGATGGCCAACATAATCCTGGGCGAACCGGTTGTTAAAGTAAACCTCCCCTCTGCTATCAAAGTGGATCCTGGGTGCTGGGCTGCAATGGAGAAGCAGGCAATAGAATGGCTGGCATGAGGGAAGGAAGAGGAAAAAGAGAAGAAAGAAGGAAAGCAGCCTTCTCTTCCCTCATGCCGGCTGCTCAGTTGCCCGTTTCTCCATCGCAGCGCAGTGCCCAGGATCCACTTTGATAGCGGTGTGTGTGTGTGTGTGTGTGAGTGAGTGAGTGAGTGTGTTAATTAAACAACCAGTTCACCCAAACCAGTGTGAACTGGCTGAATCCCACTACTGCTGGGTTTTGTTTTTTTCTATTTGAGAACCCTTAGTATTTTTGGTGCAGAAGTTATGACTTGGACAAAAGTTTGGTTAATGGAGAAGGAAACAGTAGAAACACAATGAACCTCTGTCTCTGCAAATGGATTCTAATCCAGAATGTTAATCATAACAGTAATGAGCACTTAAAGCAATAACTTTCGAATCAGAAAAGCCTTATTGCTGAAATAATGTCTAAATGACCTTGCAATTAAAAAGAAAAAGCATCACAATCACAGTCTTTTGGGAATTGCCGTATATGTAGTTAAATGGAAATGTTTTGATTAATCCTGAAAATTAGATGTGTTCCTTGGGGACATTTATCTAAAGCAATCCTAACATGTAGATGTGTAAGATAAAGTTATATACAAGCTTCGTTACTTTCAATTTATATCTAAATCCAATAATTAAAATGCTTGCTGTTTCAGCCCATTATCCAATCACTCTGGCTGATTGTGCAATTCCAGGGCTATTGTATGCTGCTGTTACTGTGTCTATTTCATAGGAGGAATTGAAGCACATAGGACATTAGCTTTATTTTGCATAGAACAAACGCTATCAATAAATTATTAGAAAACCAAATTCTTATTTTACCCGGCATTGTCATGAAAGTCACTAATGGAAAATAAATGGGACTCCAGATGAAAAAGTGCACACCTATAAATACTTTGGAGTGCAATTTCTTGCTTCCTTATCTAGCAAGTGTTGCACAGCCTACTTCCACGGCTATTGTAAGATGTTATTATTCAATAGGTAAATTGGATGCAGGAATACCTATCAAAATAATGAATGCTGTTGCAGTCTGCAGTCTTTTGAGCTATGATAGCCTCTCAGCTTCTTTACTGCTTCCAAATTGGCTCCTTTGCAAAGCTTAATATTATTGAAACTGTCCAAAATAAGTTTATTAGAGACATACTGATGGTTCCAAAATGCTGTGCAGCACCAGAGGTGGTATTCAGCAGGTTCTGACCAGTTCTGGAGAACCGGTAACAGAAATTTTGAGTAGTTCAGAGAACCAGCAAAAACCACCTCTGACTGGAGATTTTACAGTATCCTTCCCCTGCCATGACCACCAAGCTACACCCACAGAACTGGTAGTAAAAAAAATTGAATCCCAGCAGTACCATTATTTAGATTTGAAAACAACTTCTTATAATAGTATTTTATTTGGATTTATTTTACTATCTTTGTTCTTAAATTACTTTAGATTCTATTACACTTTGTTTATCTGCTATACACACACACGCACGTACGCGCGCGTGCGCGCGCACACACACACACACACACACACACACACACACACACATATGCAATAATTTTATATGATATTCTAGCCTTAGGGCTATAATAAACTTGATTTCATTTGATTATGAATGATGAGGACCCAAATTGTTGGGGGCAATTTGCTGACTCTGTAAACTGCTTAGAGAGGGCTGTAAAGCACTGTGAAGCAGTATATAATTCTAAGTGCTATTGCTATTAATCCAGACAAGAATTACTTTACTTTCTTTTCATGGTCTAAGTAGGTACATGGTCCAAATTTAATGTGAACTAATCATATTGCTGAGATGACTGTTAGCCATGTTTGTTTCTAGCAACAGCTGAAATCAGATAATTCACTATAGACATTATGAAATGGATAAACATGCAGAATAATAGCTGTGTTTGCAGCAAGACTAAAGTAAATATAGAAATGCCAATGTTATAACTATTTCCTTATGAAACCAGATTAAGAACTTGAACATTGTTTTCCATGCAATTTATATAGGAAGGGGAAAAATCTGATTCCTATTTCTCCCAATAAATTTATTGAGAGATGGAATGTATTTTGTACAGTAGCTGAACTGAACTAACCTTAAAGGTTGCTATTACTTCATCTGGATAAGCCAAACCAATCAGGCTAGATGTTCTTCGATACATTCTATAAGAAAGAAATATGAAATAAGGCATTACAGGACCTCACAGTTAAAATTGTCTTTATTCTCTGGGAGCAGTTCCTATTAAGTGTCATGAAAGCAGACATAATATATAGAGAACTCTTTAAAAAAAAAAAACTTTATTAAATATACAATTAAATAACGAACAAACACATACACAACATAGAAAAAAAGTGGGAAACAAAACCACAAAAAATAAACAAATAAAAGCAAGCAATTCCGCTATCAACCGTTTGTGGTTCCTTATTTGTTATCATTATTGGTGTCATATTTACAAGTAAGTCTTAATGCGAATATGTAATTACTACCTCCTTTACAGTTTAACAATATTTACTAATATATTTTCTATCTTTGTTCTATCCAGTCATACCAACATTCCTTTTGTAATATTCTGATGATTCTTTATCCTTAAGTGCTAGGGTCAATTTATCCATCTCTGCACAGTTGCTATTTTCTGAATAATCATTTCCTCTGTTGGAATGTCAGCTTGTTTCCAACACTGTGCAAATGCTAATCTAGCTGCAGTAAGTATGTGCAATATTATATATTTGGCTTTTTTAGGGAATTGTCTATTAAATATCCCTAATAGGAAGAATTCTGGTTTTAATTCAATTTGCTCCACCATTATTTCCTCCAACCATTTTTTGATTCTGTGCCAATATCTTTGGACTTCAGTGCAGGACCACCACATATGAAAGAATGTTCCGTGTTTCTTTTTACATTTCCAGCAATTCGGATTCATGTTAGGAGACATCTTCGCTATTCTCGAAGGAGAGAGATGCCATCTATAAAACATTTTATAGGCATTTTCTTTATATGTTGCTGATTTTGTGATTTTATTATTCCTGATCCAGACCTTTCCCATTCTAATAATGTAATGCTACATCCAATATTCCTACTCCAAACTATCATATTGCCTTTGAGTACTTCCTCCTCTAATTCTATCTCTAATAAATGGTTATAAAATTTGGTTATATTTTTTTTATCTGGACCTAGTAAGATTTTATCTAATTGTTACTGTAAATTCCGAAACTTTTCTTATCCTGTCTGTATCTATTTTGAATTTGCAGGTAAACCCACCGGTCTACTCGTAGCCCTTGTTCTTGGAGATCTTGCCATGGTTTTAAAGTTCCTTGTGCATCCAGAAGGTCTTTGTATTTTATCATCTTGTTAAGATCCGAATATTTGGATGTATCATCGCCTCCATCGTTGAGATCCAAATTGGGATTTTTAGATAATGTTTTTTCTTTATTTTATTCCAATTAGCCAGTAAAGAGTCTCTAATTATATGTCTGTGGAAGTAATTCTGTTTGGTTTTTCCTGTGTCCCATAAAAATGCATGTCATCCCCTCTGTAAGTCATGGCCTTCTAGGAATAGTATTCTTTTATTTGACAAGTTTACCCACTCTTTCAGCCATAGTAAAGAGGTTGCACTATGGTATAATTCCCAATTTGGGAGTGCCATACCGCCCCCCTGCTCTTCATATCTTGCATTGCTTTTAAATTTATCCTCAATTTTTTTCCCTTGCCAAATAAATTTTGAGATTATCCTATTAAGTTCCACAAAGTAGTTTTTAATGTATTTTTATTGGTATTGTCTGGAACAAATAAATAAATTTAGGGAGAATGGTCATTTTAATTGTAGCAATCCTCCCTAATAGGGAGATTTGCAATTGAACCCATAACTCTAAGTCTTTTTAAACCTGTTGTAGTAATTTGCTATAATTATTTTCCATTAGAGTTTTACAATGAGCCATCAGCCAGATTCCTAGGTATTTAATTTTTTTTTACCACTTTTAGTCCCATTGCCTTTTCCAATTCTAATTTCTGTTTTTCTGTTAGGTTTTTAGTTATTAATTTCATTTTTCCCTATTAATTTTAAGTCCTCCAACTTTCCCAAATTGATCTAGCTCTTTCAACAGTTCTTGACCTGTTTCCATTGGATCCTCTATGAAAAAGACCATATCATCCGCAAATGACTGCAGTTTATATTCTTCTTTCTTAATTCTTAACCCCTTTATTCCTGGGTTCTGTCTAATTCATGTGAGCAGTGTTTCCAAAGATAATATGAAGAGCAGGGGAGATAATGGACAACCCTGCCTAACTCCTTTCTCTATTTTTATTGAGCGTGTATACTCTCCGTTAATTATAATATTCACCTTTTGTGAGGTGTAAATTGAAGTCACAATGTTTTCAAATTTAGTGCCTAAATTCATATTGTAGATTTGTTGAATTAGGAATTGCCAATTTAAGTTGTCAAAGGCCTTCTGTGCATCCAAGAATACAAGGACTATTTGTTTTTCTGGATGGGCTTCGTAGTATTCCAAAACATTTAACACTATTCTTAAATTGTTCCTAATTTGTCTATTGGGAAGAAATCTGTTTTGATCTTTATGTATATATTCATTCAGGATTTTTTTTAGTCTATTTGCTATAATTGTAGTAAATATTTTATAATCAGTATTTAACAAAGAAATTGGTCTATAGTTTTGTATGAGTCATGGATCTGAGTCTTCTTTCGGAATCAATGAAATCAGTGTCTCCTTCCATTAATCCGGCATTTTAGCTGCAAGTAAAACCTCGTTATATACTTTTACCATGAGGGGTCTTATTTGTTCTCCTATTACCTTGTAGAGTTCCCCTGGAATCCCATCAGGTGCTGGAGTTTTATTGTTCTTTTGATTTTCTATTGCTGTTTTCAGTTCAGACCAGGTAATATCTCTAATTAGCATTTCTTTCATCTCATCCCCAATTACTTTGTCTTTTGTTTCACCCAAATAGTTTCTTATCATATCCTCATTTACCTCCTCCTTTTTATAAAGGTCTTCAAAATATTTACATGCAATTTCTTTTTTTCTGTTCTATTCCCTGTTGGGCATCTCCATTTTCATCTATTAATTGGTAAATTAATCCTTTCTGTTTTTCTTTTTTGAGTTTATAGGACAACCATCTTCCCGGTTTATTAGCCTGTTCAAAGAATATCTGTCTAGCTATATTCAACTTTGTAACCATTCCTTCCTGTTCAATTAGGTTTAATTTGTGTTTAGTTAATATCATCTGGTTTTGCAATCTACAATCCTTTGGAGTATTTTGTAACTGCATTTCTAATTCTTTAATTCTTTGTTTTAGTTTATTTTGTTGGGCACATTTTTCTTTATTTCTCCTGGCAGTATATGATATCATTGTGCCCCTTATTACTGCCTTCATTGTGTCCCAAATATTCTGCTTCATAGTTGCCTCATTATTATTTTCTTTTAGAAAGTTGTCTAATTCCTCCTTAAGTCTATTCATTAACTCTTTCTCTTTAATTAGCTGTGTATTTAGCATCCACCTTTTCCTTGGCTTTTTCCTACCTTTCCACACTATCTGAATCGGATTATGATCTGCCCATTCGTTCCTCACATGTTTTCGGTAATTCTCTCTCCCCCCCCCCCCACCCACTACTGTGATCTTTCTGATGGTCTACAAGATACAAATATTCCTTTTTTCTAATCCCACTATTTTTTCATGTAATTGTTTAAAAAATTCTTTTTGATTATCCTTAGGGGCATAAATTACTACTAATAGAATTGGGGTTGACTTAATCCAAATTTGTAAAACCAGAATTTTTCCATTGGAATCTGTCCAAATTAGCTCTGCTTTCATTTCCTCTTTCACATATACTGCTATCCCTTTCTTTTTCCTGAAGTCTGCTGCTGACGTATACATATATAGAGAACTCTTAAGACCGCATGAAATACTGTTTTCTCCAAAGCAAGATAGATAGATTTTCAACCTGCCGTCAATCATTCAGATCTATTCTGTATCTGTATCAATGGATGAATGCTAATCCCCTTTCAATCAAACCTTATTGCTAGAGGAGCCTAGCAAAGAATAATTTAAGCAGAATATTATATTCTGTTTTCATATACACAAGCATTACAGACCTTTCAAATATTAATTATAACAAGGATTAAACAAATGACTGAACAAATCCATAAATAATAGAATCAGGATATGCTTGCTTAGCAGTTAACTTTTTTCTTTTACTATTTTTCTCTTCTCTTAGTCGCTAAAAGCGCAAACCACTAATCTCTTACTTAAACTCATACTATTGTTTTCAGTGTGAACACTGAAAAACATGGCATATGAGAATTACACTATATATTTATGCAATCAGTGGCACATATTCCTAAGTAAGTCTGATGGCAATTTATAGTCACAGAGTGCACTTTTATAAGCATTATCTTAAGTATTCCTCACTGAGTTCAGCAAGACTTCTTTTGCGTCAAGTGAGGGTTAACAAGTCTTTCAAATGCCTTAGTAAAGTTTCCAAAGTGGTTTCCCATTGACTCTTTCCTAGGTCTGAGAAAGAGTAACTGGTCCAAGATTACTTGACTGACTTTGTGCTTCAGGCAAAGGTAGAACTCACATTCTATTGGTTTCTAGTATGATGCCTTAACCACTACACTGAATTGGCTCTCCTCAACAACACTTACACAAAGATATTTATATAGTTACATATTTCATATGCTTAATCTTAATTTTGATGTAAAAAAACACCCTGGGCATGATATTTGAGTCCAGATTTTTTCATACTCAGCTGCTAGCATCCAAGCTGTGATTTTAGCTGTTTAATACCAGTTTTGAAAAAGAAGACCAAGTTTCAAATACTGTAAAGTAAAATAATTATTTATTGCTTCTTGTGGCTCTTTATCAGGATGATGAAGTTGGTAACACATTCACCTGTTGTCATATAATCAATAAAGGAACAAAACACACCTTTCCACAAAGATCCCAGCTTGTACAGCATGCACGATGCTTCGAAATTTTGGTTTTTCCTCCGGTCTCCTTTTCGTCATTCCCATTTTCCTTGTAAAGGTAGATGCTAACCAATCTCGCACTTCCAGTGGAACGGAATCTGATTGGATATCTGATAGTTCATCCTCCGTATCCAACAACCTCCTGTAAATGCATATGTAGAAGACAGCACACAATAAGTACTAAACATTCAAAACTCTTAATTAATTGGAATTATGTCTCAGCATCTGTATAGTAACATTCTTTCCCCATGAATGTACAATAGCGCAGGTCACCACTGCACTATTTCATTGGTGTCAAACTCTTGACATCACAATGCCATCATGTGACATATTGCAACATTTTTCCCCTTCGCGGAGTTGGGACGGATGTGGGCTACACGTGACACATCCAGCCCATGGGCCGCCAGTTTGACACCCCTGCACAGAATGCTACTTTATATCAATTCACATCAAGGATTCATCTACCTTTATAGTATTTGTTTCAAGAACGAGCACTTCAAACTTGTGGAACTACATACTTTGGTACTTTGCTTTTTTACTAGAACCTCAAAGGCCATAAATAGAGTGCAAATAAGTGCAAAATAGAAGCTGAAATTTGGAACAGAGCCAAAAGCAAAATGGTGACAGAGCCAACATCTACTGTACTCCTCATAAAATGTGCCAACATGTATGAATAGAACTCCACATCTGAAGTTTGGTATATTTTAATCTTTTAAGGATGAGGAAACAGACCCCACAAAGATGATAGGAATCATGAGATCTGGTTTGAGCTTCTTCGGCGACAAACCAAAATCTGTGATTGTGCACAGTTTCGATCTGTGCTCACCACTGGAGTGCCCCGAGCTGGCTGGTTTTGGGGCTAAGCCAAGCCGTAGAGGTGGTGAAGAGTGGGGAGACTGCCAGCAGGGTCGAGGAGAGCCGCATCTCTCCTCCCCAGCTGGCCATTATTCCCTTTTCCGAAGGCGGTTGCAGCAGTGGTCAGAAATGGCCACCTCAAAGAAGAACTCGACTGGAAAAGAATGTGCAGGAGGAAGATAAGAAGAGAATGTTTTTGGCTGACCAGATCGAACTGGAAAAACAAAAATATAAGGTACCCTGGAATTTGAATTATAAAGGACAACATTGTTCCCAAAGAAGACTTTGAAGCTGCGAATGAGAGAGGGAAGGGAAAGGATTTGGTTTTTTTTCTTTTCTCCCCTATATTGACAACTAAGAGATTTAAGCAAGAAATCGGCAAAAATCCACTTTGACAGTAACAGGTATTTAAGCTGAAAATAAAATGTCAAAGGGATAATAAAGATTTCTGGATTCTCAAAAACTTTTAAAAGAAGGAAAAAAATGAAAGGGTGGGATCTGGAAAAAGGGAGGAGACCACCTGGAAGTGAAAGGAATTAACAGTGAAACTTTAACAAGATTCCTAACAGATACATCTTATCTGAAACTTTGTAACAAGATAAGAGAACCCCAGGAAGAGAAAGTGGAAAAAAGAAGCGAGAAGAAACAGTTTTGGATTATTTGGATTACTTGGTGATTTATGGATTTTTGGCTATTGGATCTAAAGGACTAAAATTAATCGGGTGGTTGTTTAAAAGTTTTTAAAATGGTAACACTCTTGGAAGAATTGAGAATGGAACTTAAAAAACAGAAAGAAGATGCACAAGAAGGAAGAGGTTCTTTTGGCTTCATATTTCAATTTTTAGAAATGGAGATCCTGAACTATGAGAAACAACAAGAAATGCCTGTAGAACAAGAAGGGCGGGACAAAAAAGAAGCCATCTTCAATGACCAAGTATTTCTATGTGGGGAAAAGAAAGGAAAGTGGGGAAAGAGAGTGAAAAAATTAAGATCTGAAAAAACAATCCAAAAAAAGAATAGTTTGAAAAGTAATTATAACATTAGGAAGAAACAGAAGAGAGGATTACAGAAGAGAGAATCAGAATTAGAGCGAGAAGGGGTCAAAAAGGGAAGGGAGAAGAAGAGGGAGAAGAGGGAAAGGAAAAGAAATAATAAAGGACAGAACCAGGACATAGAGAAACAGGGAAAATGTACAAGATACAGAGATAATGGGTGAATACTTAATTGAAAGGGGGATTCTGCAAGGGTACATAAGATAGTTTTGTTATATTAGAAATAGAAATGAACTTTGAAAATATGAAATAAGTGTGATTAAAATGATAGATAAAATACTCATTGTAATGTAATGTAATGTTTAATAAATGAAATAAAGAGAATGAGAGAATGAAAAGGAGGGGAACATTTTAATTATTATGTGTTATAAAAATTTAAGTGAAGAGGAATATGAAAGAAACATGAAAAAATTATGGAAATATTATAAGTGTTCCTAGAAGTATGATATCCTATTGAAAAGGAATGTTAAAGATTATAACTAATATTAATGATAGAGCTGAATTGGAATAGAATAAGTATTTTATTTATTATTGTATATATATATATATATATATAT